AAAAGAGAGAGAGTCTAATTTTATTGTCGAAAAAATGAAACTCATTTCAATTTAATATTAATGAAAAATTTATTTACTAAAATTCAGTTCTCTTGGGGGAATTTAATTAAATTTTTACGATAAGAAAATTTTATTAATCAATCGTATGAATCACCATTACTTTAAGGTAATTCTTTGACCGTTTAAATTGAGTTTCTCTGATAACTGAAAAAGCGTCTGGCAGACTTTCCTTGATTCTCTATTTTCTTTCTGGTTTTTCTCTCATACCCCGCCGCACATTTTGATAACAATCTTTCTTCCATGAATCTCATTTCTCTATAAATTTACTTCCAAACTCGAAAGACATGTAACAAGTAGATAAACTATTATAAAATTCGCAATCCTACAAATATTCGATTTCTTATTCAATATCGAAAAACTATTCAAATTAACAAAGAATCAAAATTTAATTCTACAACAAAATGGAATAAAAACAAATTTTTTATTCATTTGCCAGATACAATAAAACTTTTCATTTTCCTTTTCTTTTTTTTTTTGTTTTTTCGTCGCGTTTTAAACCAGCGCATTGACGTAGTGATATTGTCGGTTTCTTAAGTCTGGATTAAACTACTAAATTTGCGCGCACCCTACCTTCCACCTCTTTTATAATACATATATAGAAGATTCGAGATTCTTGACGTGGAAAGCAAGAAGTTTGAAAGAGAACACGCGATCTTGCCAGAGAGAAAAAAAAAAAGTTGAAAAACAAAAGTGTAAGCGAAAAAAGGAGAAAAAAAAGAGAGATAATGGCTAGTCGTACTAAACGAAGTGTGTATCAAGTTTGTCAATGTGATTATATTATAATATATTCCACCACTAACTTTTCTTATGCTCGTTGACATTATATTCGAAAGACCGCACATCACAAAAGTGAGCGCATATAAAATGAGTATATTACAAAATCCCAAATTTTTATACCGCACCAGAAAATATGACAATGATGATGATGATCATAAAAGACGAACTATGAAAAAAGAAATTTTTCAAAGAAAGTTAAAATAACTTTTTTCTTCCCTAGAGGAATTAGTCAAAACTGAATAATTGAGACTTGTAGAGTACTAATTAATTTAAGGAAGGAATCAGTAAAAATCTAAGGCCCAGTTTCACCAACTCCGATTAAAAGTTAATCAATGATTAAAATCAGTTTAACCGCCCATGATTAGTCAGTTGAAGGATTTAATCATTAACTTTTAATCGGAGTTGGTGAAACTGGCCCTAATTCTGATTTGAAGAGCACCGCGAACTTATATCTATACAAATAGGTGAAAAAAACCCCTTTTGAAAATTTCCTTTCCTATCGATAAAAATATGCATTTTCCTTTTAAATAATTTAAATAATTTAAATACGAAAAGAGGAAAAGCTGAACTAGTGCTTGCACATTATAAAAATTAAATACAACATAATATAAGAAAAGGTAATAGTGATTTATAATATAGTAATTTACCACGATATCTGAAGGCTAGATCATATTGTCATTTTTTAAAATTCTATCTAGAATCTCTCCTTGTATATAAATGTATAATCAAGCACCGATTAAAGTGCCTTGTTGTTTATGATAGGCGTATAAGGTAAACCGAAGTTGATGCCAATGACCGAAGAATATTTATATCGCGATGTTACACTACAACGACGCAAAACGGGGTGTTACAAAATACAATGCGGTAATAAATCTTCTTCTTCTTCTTCTCCTATTCTTGTATAATTTCCCCCTACTTATTAACTGGTGACGAAATTTCACGCGCAGAAAAATTTGCATTTGTATACGTGGAATGGAAAAATTAATTCAACCAAATTACCAATATACCAAAACCAATACCATGCAATCAATCATTAAAAATCAATTTAATATAATATGAAAAAATATCAGTGACTGACTTTTTGCTTCTGAATCTGTTAAAAATAACTTGTCAGTGAAAAAATAATTAATTTTCATTATCGTTTACCAATTAAATAGTTAAGAATTTTACTAATTTTTACAGGGTTGCAACAAAAATTTAATTTTGTTTTTCCCTAATACAAAATTTTGACTTTCTCTCTGACCCTAAAGAATATTCTGATTCACTCTAAAAACTATTAGATAGTAAACAAAATGTTCTATAACATTTATTTACGAATTTCCTTAATTGTTAAATTATTTAAAAATACCAATAACTTCATTTTTAAATAATTACTAATTACTATTTTATAAAATTCTTCTTTAAATCAATTATTTTTTAATAATTTTTTGATAAAGTTCTTTTGAAAATTTTCAAATTCATTTGTTTTCAATTCAATTTTACTAAATTTTAATTATTCGTAAATTCTTCAATTAAACATACATTAGAAAATAAAAACTTGAAATAATTTCGATTAAGTTTTTTGAAAAAAAATTAATTACACAGAATTTATTTGACAAAAATTAAGGTCCTGAAAATATTTTAAGTTAATTAAAAGAATGCAAAAAATTCAGATTCAGATTAAAAACAAATTTTTAAATAATTTAATTCTTTTCACGAATTTGAATAACATTTTTAAGAATATTTACATTTTTCGAGGAATTTGATTAAAATTGTATTAAAAATAATTGAAATACTGCAATGAGTTTTATTATTTATATGAAAATAATTCAATTATTGAGAAGAATTTTATAAAAAAAAGTTTCAAACAATTGATTTTTTTCAAAAAAATTTATGCAAGTTCTATTTTTAATAACTGAATTACTGTAAAATTTTTATTATTTTAGAAAATAAATAAATATTCATGTAGAACTTTGTCAAAATTGTTTTTAAATAGTTGAATTCTTTTGGGAAATATTATTAAAATAATATATATACAAATTATTGAATTAAGAAAAATTTTTGAAAATAATTGAATATTTTATTACTTTTGAAAATAATTGAATTCTTGTGCTGAATATTGTTATTTATGAAAATAAATGACTTCCTCCAAATGATTTTATTATTCATGAAAATAATTAAATCCCTGAAAGTAATTTAAAAATTTATGAAAATAATTTAATTCTTGTAATGAATATTATAAAAATAATTAAATTTTCCAATTAATTTTATTAAAATTTCTAAAAATAATTGAATTTCGGAGAAAAATTTTGCTATTTATAAAGATAATTGAAATTTTGACGAGAATTTTTTAAAAATAATTGAATTTTTGCGAAGAATGTTATTAAATTTGAAAATAATTGAATTTTTGTAATGAATATTGTTATTTATGAAAATAATTAAATTTTGTAATGAATTTTATTTAATTTTTATTTTATTAAAATTTCTGAAAATAATTGAATTTCGGCGAAGAATTTTGCTATTTTAAAGATAATTGAAATTTTGAGAAGAATCTTTTTTAGATTTTTGGAAAATAATTGAATTTTTGCAAATAATTTTATTAAATTTGAAAATAATTGAATTTTTGTGATGAATATTGTTATTTATAAAAATAATTTAATTTTGCAATGAATTTTATTAAAATTCCTAAATATAATTGAGTTTCAGCGAAGAATTTTGCTATTTATAAAGATAATTGAAATGTTGACGACAATTTTAAAAAAAATTTTGAAAATAATTGATTTTCTAGAAAGAATTTTGATATTTATTAAGACAGTTGAACTGAATTGAATTCCTGTGAAATTTTTATTTTTTTGAAAAATAATTGAATGTTCGTGTAGAATATTATCAAAATTTTTGTTTAATAATTTAATTCTTTTGGAGGATTTTATTAAAATATTAGAATATTGAAAATCATTGAATTAAGAACAATTTTTGAAAATAATTGAAATTTAAAAAAATTTAATTTTACCAAGAATTTAATTAAAATTTTTGAAAATCATTGAATTCTGTCGCAGAATTTTGCTATTCATTTAAATTTAATTTTACCAAGAATTTAATTAAAATTTTTGAAAATCTTTGAATTCTGTAGCAGAATTTTGCTATTCATTTATAAAAATAATTGAAATGTTGACAATTTTTTTTAGATTTTTTAAAAATAATTGAATTTCAGCGAATAATTTTATTACTTTTGAAAATAATTGAATTCTTGAGATGATTATTGTTATTTATGAAAATAACTGAATTTTACAATGAATTTTATAAAAATCCCTGAATGTAACTGAATTTCGACGACGAATTTTGCTATTTATAAAAATAATTGAAATGTTGACGAAAATTTTTTTAAAAATTTTTGAAAATAATTGAATTTCTGGAGAGAATTGTTAAAAAAAATCCACACTCTTTAATTAATAGAAAATATACGAATTCAAATTTAGAGATTGCTTCTCATTCAATAAATTAAATTAAACTCAACAATTTAAGATCGGAATAAATTTTCTCTCAAAAATTCTTCTTATGCGAGAAGAAATTGCGAAAAATATACATAATAAACGTATACACAATCGTGTAATATTATACAGCGTAATAAATAATGCCCTGTATAATAATACAACGATTTCTCAGAATGGTTTTCGTAAAACGGAGAGAGAGAGAGATCATTAAAACAATGACAATGTAACTATAGGGTTATTTCACAGGAGAGTTGCGCGAATATTTTTTTTTAAAACAGCTTCTTGACATGATATCGAGACGTATAGAAAATAATTGATGTGTATACAACCGATATTATAGGCAATGCAACGGTCAGGCCTTTCAAATCGGTAGGCCTGGCAATTCTCAATTCTCATATGATTACACGAATCAAATACACGACTTATAATGAATTCTCCACCTCTCAAAGAGAGAAGGCGGAGAATATCGACATTTACTACCATATTGGTTAAAAATCGATTCACACGCGCTTAAAAATTTCTCACTAAAAACAACAACAACAACAACAACACGCAAAATTGTAAATTGTAATGTTTTCACATTTTTAATGTATTATATGGTAATTTATATTATATTTTTACCATTTCAATTTAAAAATGATTTTTTTTCATGAAAATAAAATTAATTGAAAAAAAAATATTTTTCTGTTACAGACTGAACAATTTACATGTCTATCGATTTTACTTGCAATAATCGTTGCTGGCAATACAACAGTGTTGGCATGTTTACTAATGGGAAAAAGAAGAAAATCGCGAATGAATTTTTTTATCAAGCAACTTGCATTTGCAGGTAATTATTTAAATATATAAATTAAATTTGATCATAATTCTATAAAACATGAAGAAATCAATCACTCCGAGTCTTCGACTCGGAGTCATCGATTTCTTCATGTTTTATAATAATTAAAGATGGCAAATTGACAAAATTATTATTTTATATTATAAGAATATTGTACTTCATCAAAATTATTTTCATCATTTCAATTCAATTATTATTTTTAAACATTTTTTAACTAAAATTCTTCTTTAAAGCAATTAATTTTCGAAAAAGTTCTTTGATAATTTTCAAATCCATTTGTTTACAATATTCAATTTTACAAATTTCAATTATACGTAAATTCCGAGGTAAATCTTCAATTAAATATACATTAGAAAATAAAAACTTCAAATAATATAAAAAAATTCAATTAAACTTGTTCAACAAAATTAATTCCAAATTCAATTATTTCTAAAAATTTATCCTGAAATGTTCTTAATATTTAATTATTATGTAAAATTTTAACTGAAATACATTTTTATGAAATGAAAATCAATTTTTATTAGAAAATTCTACTAGAATTCAATTATTTAAATACAAAAAAAATAATTTATTATTGAATGTTTCTTAAAATTTAATTCTAATAAAAAATTTTATAAACAAATTTTTAAATAATTAAATTCTTTCGACGAATTTTAATATAATTTTTAAGAATAATTAGATTTTTCGAGAAAGTCGATTAAAATTGTATTAAAAATAATTGAATCCCTGTAAAAATGTTATTATTCATGAAAATAATTGAATTATTGCGAAGAAATTTATAAAAAATTTGTAAATAATTGGATTCCTGTGAAATTTTTATTATTTATGAAAATAATTAAATTTATTTCAAATAATAAAATTCATTAAAAAAATTTTATTAAAATAGTAGACATTAAAAATCATTGAATTAAGAACAATTTTTGAAAATAATTGAAATTTTACCAAGAATTTTGTAAAATTTTTGAAAATAATTGAATTTTGGAGAAGAATTTTATTATTTCTAAAAATAATTGAAATTTTGATAAGAATTTTTTTCTAAATTTCTGAAAATAATTGAAATGTTGACGAGAATTTTTTTAAAAAAATTTTGAAAATAATTGAATTTCTGGAAAGAAATTCAATTCTTTTGGGAAATTTTATTACAATAGTAGAATATTGAAAATCATTGAATTAAGAAACATTTTTGAAAACAATATTAAAATTTTCCCATAAATTTTATTAAAATTTTTGAAAATAATTGAAATTTTTCCATATATTTTATTAAAATTTTTGAAAATAATTGAAATTTGCAATGAATTTTATTAAAATTCCTAAATATAATTGATTTTCGGTGAAGAATTTTGCTATTTATAAAGATAATTAAAATGTTGACGAGAATTTAAAAAAAAAATTTTGAACGCAATTGATTTTCTGGAGCGAATTTTGATATTTATTAAAAATCCTTGAATTAAGAACAATTTTTGAAAATAATTGAAATTTTGCAATGAATTTTATTAAAATTCCTGAAAATAATTGAATTTCGGCGAAGAATTTTGCTATTTATAAAGATAATTGAAATTTTGACGAGATTTTTTTTAGATTTTTTGAAAATAATTGAATTTTTGCGAAGAATTTTATTAAATTTAAAAATAATAGAATTTTTGTGATGAATATTGTTATTTATGAAAATAATTGAATTTTACAATGAATTTTATTAAAATTCCTGAATATAATTGAATTTCGGCGAAGAATTTTGCTATTTATAATAAGATAATTCAAATTTTGACGAGATTTTTTAAAAATATTTTTTAAAATAATTAATTTTCTGGAAAGATTTTTGATATTTAATAAAACAGTCGAATTGAATTGAATTACCGTGAAATTTTTATTTTTTGTAAAATAATTAAATGTTTGTGTAGATATTATCAAAATTTTTGTTCAATAATTTAATTTCTTTGGGAAATTTTATTAAAATAGTAAAATATTGAAAATAATTGAATTAAGAAGAATTTTTGAAAATAATTGAAATTTTATTAAAAGTTTTGAAAATAATTGAATTTCGGAGAAGAATTTTATTATTTCTAAAAATAATTTATATTTTGACGAGAATTTTATTATTTCTAAAAATAATTGAAATTTTATTAAAATTTTTGAAAATAATTGAATTTCAGAGAAGAATTTTATTATTTCTAAAAATAATTGAAATTTTGACGAGAATTTTATTATTTCTAAAAATAATTGAAATTTTGACGAGAATTTTATTATTTATAAAAATAATTGAAATTTTGACGAGAGTTTTTTTTTATTTTTTGAACATAATTGAATTTCTGCGAGGAATTTTATTACTTTTGAAAATTATTCAATTTCTGCAATAATTTATAATTTCTCAAAAATTCTCCAAATGATATCGTACAATTTACGAAATTTTCTCTCTAAAAACTACAAATAAGTTTTCGACGCTAACTTTAGGAACATTGAGATTTCTTGAACTCTGATTAGAAGTAAGTTTGTGATTAAATCCTTAATTGACCAATGATGAAAGTGGAAAATGGATTATTATTAGATATTACTATTATTATTATTATTATTAAATGTTGTTATTATTATCATTTTGCTTTTTAGCAATTATTTTCGTCATTAATTAAAACAGATTATCGATAATGCATATTCAATAAAGGGATTATTTTCCATCAAGACTCAAAAGTAAAAAAGTAGAATGTTACATATAGTAATTTTTCAGAGTCAGGGGAATAAAAATTTTCTTGCTCTCTAAGTAAAAGCCATTGTCATTGTCCCAAGATTTTTTATTGAAGTGTGATATTCGCTATCATTATTTCTACTCAGAACATCTGGCCTTCCATTGTCCTCGAAACTAAATCGTACATGAATTCATCTTTATTAAGAAATAAATAATAAAACAAAAAAAAAAAAACACCACTGCAAAGTTATTAAAGTTTTCACGAGAAAGCAAAAAGTAAATAATAATAAAATGTTTAAAAATAAAATAAAATCATTTTTCGTAATCGACGGATTTGCAAGATTTAATTCATCAGTATATTGACTCTTATTTTGTTTTAATATTCATTAACATAAATAGAATTTTTTTAAAGGAAAAAAAAAGAACCTGATCAGACATGTTTTACATCAAGATATGAATAATAATAATATAAGCTAGCGAAAATTTTTTGGCGAGAGGAAATGAGAAAGCTCGTAAAACTCAACACAATATTCCAGCAATTTGAAACCTACGCCTTGGAATCGTAATAATTGAAGTGACGTTGACAATTTTACGACTTTATTTCGTTGATAGCGAAAGGGATGTTCATTTTCAGTTTTATAATTAATTTCCCAGTGTACATCTATATGAAATTTTTCTATATATATAATTTTTGAAAATAATTTAATTCTTTCAAGAAATTTAATCAGGGTTGCCACAAAAATTTAAATTTGTTTTCAATTATTATTTTCTAGAATTTTTAACTAAAATTCTTTTCTATTAATTTAATTTAATTATATTAATTTAAATAATAATTTTTGAAAATAATTCAAAAATTAACAGTCTACTGTTAATGAATATTCTATAAATAGATTTTAATTTAATTTTTTTTGCTTTAAGAACTTGGACCCAATTTTTTGAAATTTACAGAAAAGAACTCTTGTTAAAAATCATCAATATTAAAAATTTCTGTTACAGATTTAATGGTGGGTTTGATATCTGTCCTAACGGATATTGTTTGGAGGACAACAGTCACCTGGTACGCGGGAAATATAGCCTGCAAGCTAATTAGATTTATGCAAGCAATTGTAACTTATAGCTCGACATATGTTCTCGTTGCCCTTTCCATCGATAGATACGATGCCATAACAAGACCAATGAACTTCACAGGAAGCTGTACGTATGTATTTTTATTTATCCAATTGAATAATTTGCGATATTTTATTTTCCTTCTTTGTCATTTTAAAATATTTATTTCAGTTTTATGAATTATGAATATACTTTCCCCTCAAAAATTATATTTCTTTTTGTGAATTTTGTTTAGTGACATTTTCTTCAGCCGGCCGAACCTAATTTTTGCTTGATTTGATATAATATATAAAAATTTAACCTTCTAGATAATTCAATGTACATGAGTTGAAAAGTATATTTACATAAACATTGAGTGGGGGTCGTTTGAGTATATTTTTGCCTCCTTCTTTTCTTCTGCGACATTTTAGCATTTGATGAAAGGAAAGCTTTACGAAAGAGGCAATTTATCACTCGACCGTCTTTTTCCTGGGGGCCATTTGCAAAAAACTTCAGATGCATTTGTTACATCGCTCAGCTTCCACAACATCTTAACAGCTAAATCAACGATGTTATTCTTACAAAATACTCTCTGAATATATTCATCATATTCTTTTTTATAGTCAACCATAAGGACATTAGTTGACTCTAACCATATAAACGTCTTATGCTCAACATTCATTTTTTACAAATTTTTTTTACAATTTTTTTACAATTTTTTTTTCAAATTTATCTTTTCCCAATTTATTCTCTTTTTAAAATAATTTCCAAATTTCAATATGTAGCCAATTTCTAAATCCAGGATAAAAAAATCTTCCCCTAGCATTTAATAACCAACAATTATTACAGGGTTGACACAAATATTTAATTTTGTTTTTTCCTGACTTTTTCCTGATTTCCAGACAAAATTTTCACTTTTTCCCTGACCCTAAAGAATATTCTGATTCACTCTAAAAAATTTTAAATGCTAAAGAAAATGTTCTCTTTCATTTATTTAATTAAGTTGTAAAATTATTCAAAAACATCAATAACTTCTTTTTTAAATAAATTTTTAATCATTATTATTTTTCCAAAGAAATAAAGATTTTCAAAAATTTCAAATTCAAAATTTTGAAATTAATTAATAATAAATTACCATAAAATTTTTCAAAAATATTTAATTATTTACAAAAATCCTAATAAAATACTTTACAAAAATTCAATTATTTTTACAAGTAGTAAAATTTCTTAAAACAATTCAATTATTTATACAAGTAGCAAAATCTCTTAAAAGAATTCAATTATTTTTACAAGTAGCAAAATTTCTTAAAAGAATTCAATTATTTTTACAAGTAGTAAAATTTCTAAAAAAAATTCAATTATGTAAAAAAAACATGTAATAAAGTTCGTTGCAAGAATTCAATTATTTTCATAAACAATAATAATTCGATTATTCGGAAATTAATTTTTAAGTAAATTTTGAAAAAATAATTATAGAATAATTCAATTATTTAAATTAAAAAATAAATAATTTATTGAATAATTGAATGTTTGTTAAATTTAAAATTGAATTCTCATAAAGAATATTATCAACAAATTTTTAAATAATTGAATTCTTTGGACGAATTTTAATAAAATTTTTAAGAATAATTAAATTTTTCGAGGAATTCGATTAAAATTGTATCAAAAATAATTAAAACCCTGCGATAAGTTTTTTTTATTATTTATGAAAATAATAAAATTCCCTAAGAACAATTTTATTAATTTATAAAAATAATTGAATTACTCAGAAGAAATTTATTAAAAAAATTTGTAAATAATTGAAATCCTGGGAAATTTTTATTATTTATGAAAATAATTAAATGTTTGCGTAAAATTTTATTAAAATTTTTTTTAAAAATTGAATTTCAGAGAAGAATTTTGCTGTTTATGAAAATAATTTGAAATCATGACGAAAATTTTGATTTTAATTATCGTAAATAATTGAATTTTATGAAAAGTATTTTATTATTCTTGAAAATAATTTTATTCTCCTGATTAATATTGTTATTTATAAAAATAATTGAAATACTGCGAAAAATTTTTAAAAACAATTTGTAAATAATTGAATTCCAGTGACATTTTTAATATTTATGAAAATAATTACATGTTTGCGTACAATTTTATTAAAATTTTTTTAAATAATTGAATTTCAGAGGAGAATTTTGCTGTTTATAAAAATAATTTAAATACACGACGAGAATTTTTTTTTAATTTTCGAAAATAATTGAATTTCTGAAAAGAATTTTATTATTTATGAAAATAATTGAATTTGGCAAAGAATTTTATTATAATTTTTGAAAACAATATTGATTTTTAAGGTTTTTTTTTAAAGAATTGAATTTTTTCGTAAAATTTTATTAAAATAGTAGATATTGAAAATCATTGAAAAAAATTGATTTTCTAGAAAGAATTTTGATATTTATTAAGACAGTTGAATTTAATTAATTTGAATTCCTGTGAAATTTTTATTTTTTTTTTGGAAAATAATTGAATTTTTGTGTAGATATTATCAAAAGGTTTGATTAATAATTTAATTTTGTTGGGAAATTTTATTAAAATAGTAGAATATTGAAAACTATTGAATTAAGAACAATTTTTGAAAATAATTGAAATTTCACCAAGAATTTTATTAAAATTTTTGAAAATAATTGAATTTCGGAGAAGAATTTTATTATTTCTAAAAATAATTGAAATTTTGACAAGAATTTTTTTTTATTTTTCAACACAATTGAATTTCTGCGAAGAATTTTATTACTTTTGAAAATAATTGAATTTCTGCAGTAATTTGTAACTTCTTCAAAAACTCAATTTTTTTAGTATTTCTAACTAAAATTCTTCTAAATTCTTAATAATTTTTCTAAATTCTTAATTTTTAATAATTAATAAAATATATATTAAAAAATAGAAAAAATTCAAGGTTTTGTAGTTCAAGGCAAAGAAAAAAAGACACAAAAATTTAGAATTTTTTTATAAATTTTAAAAATTTAATTTTTTTCAGTATTTTTACTAAAACTCCCTGACCAATTCTACTTTCCCTGACTTTTCCCTGAATTCCCTGACCTGTGGCACCTCTGTATTGTTTTCTTACAATGTTTTTCACCACTCAATTTTCTTAAATGTATCAAGTTGTATCAAATACAGCAATTAGCAAATTGCTACCAAAAATTTAGATCTATTTTTAATTTGATATACATTTTTGGTATCAATTCGTTGCAATTTGATACATTTAAACTAACAGTGTATAAAACCAAAAATCACAAAATCCTGTTTTTTTAAATAAAATAATTCATTCATCTTGCAGGGCGAAGAGCTCATATGTTAATTGCCAGTGCTTGGGGATTATCGATAATTTTTAGCAGTCCTATGATTTTCCTCTATGAAGAGAAATTGATCCAGGTAATGTTAACAAAAAAAGAACAGTATCTCTTAAGAAATAGATTTTATTCTCCAATTGCTTTTTCAGGGTAAATTGCAATGTTGGATCGAATTGGGATCCCCACTATACTGGCGAATCTACATGAGTCTAGTGAGCATCACAATTTTCATTGTCCCAACTTTTATAATCGGAGGCTGTTATATGGTAATTGTGATAACCATCTGGTCACAAGGGAACGTCATACGAGAAGGACCCACACGTGAAATAAGAAGAGCATCATCACGAGGACTTATACCAAGGGCAAAAATCAAAACAGTCAAAATGACTTTTGTCATTGTATTCGGTAATTATTAATTAATAATTCTTTTACATTTTTTTTTAACAAACTCTAGTTACACGAATTCAGAAATAGTTGATTATGATTACAATTCAAAAATCAGTCAGAAAACAATGATATTTACATCTATAAATATTATCCTCCTCGTTGGAAAATTACTCCAAGTTTATGGGTTGATATAAACCAGTGACAATTGAAATGATCTGACCGTCGTCAAAATCGAAAAGAGAGAAGAAGAACGGGTTGAAATGGCCAGGTTCGAAATACCCATGTCTAGGGAATGAAATCCTTTCTTTTTTTTTCATTTATCCCCAGGGAAAGATTCCACTTTTGTCAGAAAGATAGTCAAGTTTGCTAGATTCGGCAAAAAAAATTTCGCCTACTATCAAGAAAAGTCCGCGGAAAGGAAGAAAAAAAAATTGCGTCAATTTACCTCGAGAATAATTTTTTTTTTCCACTTTCAGTATTTATTCTCTGCTGGAGTCCTTATATCATTTTTGATCTACTTCAAGTTTACGGTCACGTGCCTACAACACAGACAAATATAGCAGTTGCCACATTCATTCAGAGTCTTGCACCTTTGAATTCAGCGGCCAATCCCATTATTTACTGTCTTTTCAGTACTCCGTTTTGTAAAAATATTCGGTAAGACTTTTCTTTATTCACTAGATAAATATTTCTTATTGATAATCTACATAATGGAAAGAATTAAAAGAAAAATTGATAATCTACATAATGGAAAGAATTAAAAGAAAAATTAATGATTCGAATAAAATTTTCAACATTTCAGAAACACTCAAGCAGTATCGTGGTTCGTCGAATGGTGTCCAACGATTCCACAATATTGCTTTAGCACCACTGCTCCTCAAAATAGTTCAAGAACGACAATGACGACTTCCTTGACTGCCAATTCATCCCGAAGGAGTGGTTGTCAAAATGCAACGTTGCATTCAACGTCAAGGAAACGAGTGATGATTTCTTTGGTCTAGAAAAACCACACTATACAGCGATAAAAAAAATCATACAAAATCCGAAAAGTGTTTCTCTTTCGATGAAGACTAACTCTCAAAAAAGGAATTGACAAATTTTTTTCTAAAAGAAAAAAAATACCATCATTATATTATAATGCGAGCAATGTAATTCCATAATTTTCCTAACGAAATTTGTAAATAAGTTAATAAATAATTGTATAAAGAAAAAAAAATCTTTTTTTTCCCACCAAATTAAAAAAAAATCCCGATTTTTTCCATTCAGATTTAAAGAGCATTAATAATTGTTATTCAATAGATTAATTATTTAATTTAACTATTCAACGAAATATTGTTTAACATAATCTTTAGAATACAAGAATTTAAATTTATTTTTAAATTTAAAAATTTTTTTTTTTTACAAGTACAGAAAAATATTTTTATAACACTGATTGATTATACTGATTAGTGTTTAGCCAATTTCATCGAAACATTAATTATTCATTTTTTAATATTTGAAGTATTTGTTATTATTTTTCTCTACTTTTTTGTATCGTATGTTTGCAATAAAAATATAATAAATAAAAAATATTTCAATGACATTGTTTCCAAGATGCACCTCGAGGAGGTAACCAATCACGCATCTCAAAAAGAAAAAAAAATTTAAACAATCAGTAAATTATAAAAATTATTTTCTGTACTTTGTAATTTGTGAAGTTGATTAAATAAATAATAGAAAGGACAAAAATCTATTTTTCCCTATAATTAAAAAACTAAGCTATTAATTAATTATTCAAACCATTTACGAATCTTTTAATTATTAGACAATTTTCGTTATAAATTATAAAATTTATTTAATTATTTTTAAATCTAATTATTTATTTAATTCATTAAATTAAAAATTTAATTATAATTTAATCACTCTTGTAGATTTAATTATTAATAAAATTGCCAACAATGTTGAATGTATGTGCGAGAAAGCATTGACAAAAAGAAAAATGACAAATGACAAATGACAAAATTAAGTCAGAGTTTTCAATTAATTTGTGACATTTCGAAAAATTTAATTAAATTTACAAGTGAATTAAAATTAAAATGTCAATGGGGGAAATAATGTCTCTATTATAATTAATAAAAATAATAAAGCAAACAGAGAAATTCGCGGTGAGAAATAACGAAAAAAAAACAAAATGTCAATAAACAATCATAAAATTGATTATATTCCGCAAAAAGGTTATAATCATATATCAAATTTTCAAAATTATCGTTTCACACAATCGTCAGCAATTTCTTTTCACAGGCCGTATGAAAATGGTGATTCAATTTTCTCCATTATGGAAAAAAATAATTAACCAATAAATATGTTTTAAAATAAATTATATAAAAAAAATTAAAACGGAAATTAATTAATTACTTCAAATAAGAATAAAATAAAAAAATATTTCAGATTCATATACATGTAACAAAAGGAATTGTTTACAACGTTCAACTGCAAATTTTAATTCATTTCACGACAGACAATATTTAGAAGGTGACAAAAAATTCAATTTTTTCAATTATTAGAGTAAAAAATAAAAATACCTTCTTTTTAATAGTAAAAATTTATAAACCACATAAAATTTACAACTACTGAATTAAATTTTTCAAAAGAAATTTTTCAAAAAAAATTGAAGAAGAATAGAAGTAAAAAATAGAAAATAAAAATAGCTTTCTAATTTTATAATTAAAGTGACTGTTGAATCAAATAAGTTAAAATGAGAACAAATATTGATACTTAAAACTATTGCAATTTCAAGAAGGCGCTGCTTGGTGAAAATTGATAAAGTTGGAGAAAACTTTGAGAAATATAAGTTCAAAATGATTGTTGCCTTTTTCCTCACATGCGAATGAAAACAGTAAAAAAAACTTGTACAAATTTTCTCCTTGTTTACAAAATAAAAAGCAAAAGAGGAAAAAAAAGGAAAAATAAATAAAAAAATCTTTAATAATAAAATTAGTTTTTAAATATTAAAATGAAAATCAAATTAACTAACAATCATATTAATAACAATTGTTCCTGAATTTAAACAATATCTCTCGCCAACTTTATATTAAGTAGAAAAGTTATTATGTGATCAGACTTTCCGTCTGACTACATAATAATAGTTTCTACTCGCTCCTAAAATATTCACACTCTTTAAATTCTATTTTTAATTTCAAAGTTAATTTAAATTAATTTAATTTTAAAAAATTAGATTCAATTTGAATAAAAAAAATTAAAAACTATTAATTAATAAAATAAAAAAATTTAATTAAAATACTTTCTCATCAGTGTTAATAATAATAAAAATAATAATAATGATAATAATAATAATAATAATAATAATAATAATAATAATAATAATAATAATTTAATTATATTATAATAATAACTATATAATTGAAATAGAACAAATAAAATAGTAAATAAAAAATAATAATAAAATAATAAAAAAGAACAGCAAAAATTAATTAAATTTATGAAAAAACTAATTTAAATTTCACGACGATTTTAGGAAAAGGAGATCCGCATTTTTTGCCAACGGAAATGCAAGTGCCGAAAATAAATTCTACAAACGCACGTGAATCACCAAATGGTTGTAATTTAATAATAAAAAAAATCCAAATGCTCGAAGATGAAAATTTAGTAACGAGAAAAAGAAACCAGTATCTTTTTATAGAGTAAGTTAATTAAAAAATTCTCCATTTTATTCGAAGAATGATTTTCTAGTTGCTTACAATTATGATCGGTAGATTATAATTATAATTTATAATTATGATAATAATTATTTATAATTATAATTAAAAATAATATTTTTATCTATAATTAATAAATTATAATTCATAATTAATAATTATAATTAAGAATTTACTTTCACAATTTTTTAAACTTTAATAAGCGAAAACTGTAGTTATTTTTTACAGAAAAGAAATTGAAGTCAAAAAGCGTGTGGATCTCGAAAAAAAAATTGCAGAGTTAGAAAAAATTTTACAAGAAGAACGAGCGAAAGCACCAGCAGTATTTTCATTTCACTAAAATTATTTCCAACACCTAACATTATTTTTCTAAATAAATTAACTACTACAATTTGTAAAATTATTTTTCAAAATACAGGAAAAAGAGAATCTTTCATTGAAAAGTGTAGAAACTTCAACAACTAAAGTACAATATGCGAATGAAGAAGTTCAAGTTTGGGAAGTATGCCGAGCATGTCGAAGAGAATTACAAAGTCAAGAAAATAACGAACCAATTATAACAATGACAAAGTATGAAGAAAATCGATATTAAAATGTCCATACAATATTTAAAAAAAATTAATAATTATAGTAACAATAAAAATAATACCTAATAATAATAAAAAAATAAATAAATCAATAAATGTCTAATAAACATACAAATTAAATAACTTAACAAAAAATCCATCAATTATTAACAGAACAGAATTGGAAAATTTAGAAAAAGATATGACAATTCTAAGAGACAGTATTCTTGCAACCGAAGAAACTTTAAACAGATCTAAATCCAGAGAACAAAATTACAGAGAACAAATAGCACGACTTTTTGTTGAAGCCGACTCAGCACAAACACTTTGTAAAATTCGTTCCGATGAAATAAAAACACTAACACGAGAATTATCGGTAAAGACAATAACAATTGCAAATAAAAAAAGAATTCTCCAAAATATTATAAAGAATAACATTTATTCATTTCAATTATTTTATAGGACAAAGACATTGCTGTGAGAAATATGGAGAAAAATATGATAGACATGGGAAAATTAATAATCAAATTAAATAAACAATGGAGGTTCGCAAAAACGTAAATTTTAAACCCCATGAATAAAGAATTAAACATTAATTTTAAACTTAAAGTTTAATTTTTTATAATCAACTTTTTTTTTAAAATTATAACTCGCTTTTCGATTAATAAAAAAAATTTTTGAATTTCTATATTATTTCTTCAATAAAGCGGATTTTCAACTTTAATTTAAAAAAGATCAACAAGTAACATTTTTCGATTTCCTGAAATCTATTTTCAGAAATCATGACGAAATTTGTCAGATAGAAAACGGATTTACTTCGGAAATAAGTGAAAGGGAGCAAAAGTGGATGGAGGATATTGAACGACGTCTTTGCAATACGAAGGGCAAACAGAGAACAAAAGATAAAGCATCCTCGAGTCAGCAGTCTAGTCCCCGTGGGGGTTAAAATTACAGAACGTGGCGCACAGAATCATAAACAGTATAATATTAAAATCTAGAATATAAAAATTGTAAATTTTTCCAAAAAAAAAAATCTATATATTAAAAAAAAAAACCCCCGCTCGTTATTGCACGTTTTTAGAAAATTAAATAATTTATTTAAATTTCAAAACGTACTTTATAGAGTATAAAATAATTTATAATTATGTTTAATATGTTTAATTATAATTGCATATTAAAAATTATAAATTTATTTATAAAGTAAAAAATAACGTTAACTCCCGACAAAGTAATGAAAAAATTGTAATTGAAACAAAAAGTTGATGATAAAAAATAACCGAATAAATACAATCATATATTCGCACAGAAAATACTTTTTTTTATATTTAGATTTTTTTCTTTAATTTACACTGCCTTATATACATATGCAATTAGACGCCACTTTTTAAGCATAATATCTACACTCGTACGTAAATTTTTGTTTCTTCATAAATAGAGCGTGCCTAATAGACGCCATTTGCTTACAATTATTTTTCTTTTTTTTCTTCTAATACGTTGCTCTGAACCTAAACCTAAATAAACTTAATAGGAATGCGAATAGGACATTTTCCTTTTTTTTCTTGTATCTTACAATAAAAACGTAATGTAATTACGTCTTTTTTTCATCTCTCAAGTAATGTTTAAATTTTAATCGAAGAGGTAAAGAGTAGATTTTCATTTAAATTTAACAATGAATATTACCAACGATAATTAGCTAAATAAATTTTGTTGACTCGTGTCATTTTCAAATGCACTCCAAGCATTGTTTAATTCCATAAAAATAAGCTTTGCTATATTTTCATTATTCGTGCCGGCTTGCTGTAAAAAGAAAGAAAAATATTTTAATTTTTTTTTTAAATTAAATTAAATTAATTAAATAACTTTTGAGAATTGATTGTTTAGTTACTAATTCTTAATCTTAATAATAATTAAACCAGATTATTACCACTTGAGGCCATGTTTAAAAATGCTCGCAAAATTTGAAAAAATTAAATCAATCTAATGATTGTTATTATTAGAAATTTTATGGAAATTTATATTATTATAAAACATAATTTAAATTTCCAAAAAATTTTTCAAAAAAAAAAAAATTAAATTATTTACAAAAATTTTAATTGACTCCGAGTGATTGATATCTTTGTTTTATAATAATTTAAATTTTCATAGCATTTTTCAAAAATATTTAATTATCTACAAAAATCCTAATAAACTCCTTCGCAAGAATTCAATTATTTTTACAAGTAATAAATTTTTTCACATGAATTCAATTATTTAAAAAAAATGTAATAAAATTCGTTGCAAGAATTCAATTATTTTCAAAAATAATAAAATTCTTTAAAGAATTTTAGGCTTCACACCAAATAATTAATTTTAAAAAAGTATTAAAAAGTAGCTTTAATTCTGAAAGAAGTAGTAAAAAAGTAGCTATCGAAAATTAATTTTAATAAATAAAAAGAAAAATTATTTCAGTCGATTCACAAAAATTTGATTCAGTATTTCCCTGACCGTTTCCTGATTTCAATCAAAAATAATTATTTTTATTCTAATTCTGCTGAGAACTTTAAATCTAAATTTTCGAAAAATTCAATTATTTTCTAAATTTTTATCTTACAAAACACAATTGTATTTAAAAGTAATTTTTAAAAGTAAGCTAATCAAATTATTCTATAAAATTCAATTTAAATTGTTCAGAGGAATTGAGAAAATAAATTAATAATTTTTCAAAGTAAAAATTTGAATGTTATTAGTTTTACATCAATTAAAATTTCAACGATTTCAATAAATTTAATAATCTTCTAAATTTTGTTGTTTCTAAAAACAAATCGTACTATAACGCTTTTAATATTCAATTATTATTTAAATTTTCAACTGAAATTCGTTTCTAAATCAATTCTTATTAGAAAGTTTAATTCAAATTCAATTATTTAAATACAAAAATAAATAATATATTGAATGATTAAATATTTTTCAAAATTTAATTCTTATAAAAAATTTATCAATTTTTTAAATAATAATTCAATTTCTGAGAAGAATTTTATTACATATTTATAAAAATAATTGAATTTTTGCGAAGAATTTAATTAATTTTTTTTTAATTGAATTCTCGTAAAAAATTTTGTTATTTGGAAAAATAATTGAATAATTGTGCAGAATTAAAGAGAGAATTCAAGAATTTATCAATTTTTTAAAAAATAATTGAATTTCTATGAAGAATTTTACTATTTAAGAAATAACTGAATTTTTGCGAAGAATTTAATTAAATTTTTTTTTTTAATAATTGAATTCTCGTGAAAAATTTTGTTATTTGGGAAAATAATTGAATAATTGTGCAGAATTGAAGAAAGAATTCAAGAATTTATCAATTTTTTAAAAAATAATTGAATTTCTAAGAAGAAGTTTATTATTTATGAAAATAATTGAATAGTTGCGAAGAATTTTATTTAATTCTTTTTAAGTAATTAAATTCTCTTGAAAAATTTTATTATTTGGGAAAATAATTGAATTCTAGTGAAGACTTTTATTAAAATTTTTAAAAGTAAGTAATTGAATTCTTGAGAAGTATTTTATTATTAATGCAAAAATAATTGTATTCTTGCCTAGAATTTTATTTAAATTTTCATAAATAATTGAATTTTCGTGAAAAATGTTTTTGCTCGGGAAAATAATTGAATTTTTGCGGTAGAATTTTATAAAAAGTTTTCAAATTCATTTTTTTCGAAAAACTTTGAAATATTTTAAATAATTCAATTTCTGTGAAAATGTCATTACTTATAAAAAAATTAAATGTTCGGGTAGAATTTAATCAAAAATCTTTTATGCAATTCGATTAAAATTGTATAGATATTGAAAATCATTGATTTTCGAAAAAAATTTAATTATTTTTACAAGTAATAAAATTTTTCACATTAATTCAATTATTTAAATAAATGTAATAAAATTCGTTGTAAGAATTCAATTACTTTCATAAATAATAAAATTTTTCATTTTATTTATTGTTTTTCAATTATTTGAAAATCAATAATTTTATTGATTTCGATTATTTTTAATACAATTTTAAATAAATTCCTCGAAAAATGTAATTATTTTCAAAATTTTTTTACAAGAATTCAATTACATTTAACAAATAATGAAATTTAAAGACAAATATTTTTCAAAATCTACTATTTTAATGAGATTTCTCAAAAGAATTCAATTATTTAAAATTTAAATTAGTTCGCGAAAGATTTCTGCTAAATAAAAATTCAAAATTTATCGTTAGAATGCTATTCGATTCACTGAAATTTCTAACTATTTTCTACTATATTTTACTACTTTCGAACTATTTTTAATGCCTTTACTGGCGCTAACTTGTCTTAAACATGGCCCCAACTAGGAATAATCAAAGTATACCTTATCTGGATGAACAGATAAACAAGCTTTTCTATAAGCCTTCTTGACATCCGCGTGCGAAACGAGCTGATGCATCTCACACTTCTGCCATCTGCAATCCTCCCAAATGACCGTATGCATCGAACAAAGAAGCGCTCGCAAATTGCTCTTCTTCCCTTCAGTCCACTCCGATATTTTCAGTCGATCCGGATCCATTGTCTTGGCAGCCTCAACTTTACGCATCTGATTTATTGTCTTTGGACTCTCCTTCTCAGCTTTTCTACTACTAAAGAAATTATAACCCTGACTTCCCAATAAATCCTCGAAAGCATCACCAGACTTTGTTGGTTTACTATTCGCCGCATTCGAATCATTACCACTGTTCGTATCATTGGACGTATTAGATTTGTGCATCCGCTGACTAGAATGCACTGGAGTACCTCCAGTTGCAGGACTAGCGGATTGTGGAGTATTAGCTTCTCTTGGAGTACCATTCCAACTACCAGTCAATCCACCACCTAAAGTTCCAGTTAAATTTGCAAATGGATCTTTATTTTGTGCTGCAAAATTTGGAACACTGGAATTACGTGGGAAATTTTCTTCGTTGTTTGCCTTTGGAGCATTTGTTGTTGTATTTGAATTTTGCCAACCACCAAGTGGATCAAAGAGCATATCGGCATTTTGAGTTTGTGCCTGCTTTGATGTTTGTCCCTGTCCAAAGAGTAAATCGTTCATATTTGCATTTTTTGTCGATCCATTTGATGGTTGTGGTTGAGTTGATCCAAATAATAGATCACTAGAGAGCGATTCGTTAATATTAGGCGGAGGATTTGATGTATGCTGATGAAATTCACCAAAACCTTCCAAGAGATCACTTTCATTTTGACTAGAATTAGAAAATATATCTAATCCTGGATTAACAGGAGTTGGGGGAGGATTACTAATGTTCGAGATCAAATTCCCACCAAAATCAGGCATTCCAAGATTGAGTAAATCAGCCTCTGCAAATTTCGCATAGTCTTCATTTTGTTCAATCTTCACAGTCTTCTCTTCCTGCGACGACTCCTCCGGAGAATATATTTGTTCATCATTTTCTGTTTCTTCAACAAGAGGCGTTTCCTCCGGTGTCTGTAAACAAAATCCAACTTAGTGAAAGTATTTAAAAATACGGATTTTACAAACAAATCACAGACAAAAATATAACCAGTACAAGTCAAATAAGAGAACATTTTACTTAAAAATATAAATAATACTTTTTATAAATATAAAACATAAAGGCGAAAAAATGTTAAATTTTGAAAAATTCGGATTTTTGAATTTTTGATAATTTTCGATAATTTTAGATTTTTTACCAAAAAGTATAGCCTATTAAATAAGTAAAGTATTTTCCAAGAGCACAAAAAAAATGAAGCTAAATGCCATAAAACAGGAGAAAAAATGTTGAATTTTAAGAAATTCGGATTTTTGAATTTTTGATAATTTTCGATAATTTTAGATTTTTTACCAAAAAGTCGAGCCTATTAAATAAGTAAAGTATTTTCCAAGAGCACAAAAATAATGAAGCTAAATGCCATACAAGAGAAGAAAAAATGTTGAATTTTAAGAAATTCGGATTTTTGATAATTTTCGATAATTTTAGATTTTTTACCAAAAAGTCGAGACTATTACATAAGTAAAGTATTTTCCAAGAGCACAAAAATAAAGAAGCTAAATCCCATAAAAGAGAGAAAAAAAATTTGAAATTTAAGAAATTCGGATTTTTGAATTTTTGATAATTTTCGATAATTTTAGATTTTTTACCAAAAAGTCGAGCCTATTAAATAAGTAAAGTATTTTCCAAGAGCACAAAAATAATGAAGCTAATGGCCATAAAACAGGAGAAAAAATGTTGAATTTTAAGAAATTCGGATTTTTGAATTTTTGATAATTTTCGATAATTTTAGATTTTTTACCAAAAAGTCGAGCCTATTAAATATGTAAAGTATTTTCCAAGAGCACAAAAATAATGAAGCTAAATGCCATAAAACAGAAGAAAAAATGTTGAATTTTAAGAAATTCGGATTTTTGAATTTTTGATAATTTTCGATAATTTTAGATTTTTTACCAAAAAGACGAGCCTATTAAATAAGTAAAGTATTTTCCAAGAGCACAAAAATAATGAAGCTAAATGCCATAAAACAGAAGAAAAAATGTTGAATTTTAAGAAATTCGGATTTTTGAATTTTTGATAATTTTCGATAATTTTAGATTTTTTACCAAAAAGTCGAGCCTATTAAATAATTAAAATATTTTCCAAGAGCACAAAAATAATGAAACTAAATGCCATAAAACAGAAGAAAAAATGTTGAATTTTAAGAAATTCGGATTTTTGAATTTTTGATAATTTTCGATAATTTTAGATTTTTTACCAAAATTCGAGCCTATTAAATAAGTAAAGTATTTTCCAAGAGCACAAAAATAATGAAGCTAAATGCCATAAAACAGGAGAAAAAATGTTGAATTTTAAGAAATTCGGATTTTTGAATTTTTGATAATTTTAGATTTTTTACCAAAAAGTCGAGCCTATTAAATAATTAAAATATTTTCCAAGAGCACAAAAATAATGAAACTAAATGCCATAAAACAGAAGAAAAAATGTTGAATTTTAAGAAATTCGGATTTTTGAATTTTTGATAATTTTCGATAATTTTAGATTTTTTACCAAAAAGTCGAGCCTATTAAATAATTAAAATATTTTCCAAGAGCACAAAAATAATGAAACTAAATGCCATAAAACAGAAGAAAAAATGTTGAATTTTAAGAAATTCGGATTTTTGAATTTTTGATAATTTTCGATAATTTTAGATTTTTTACCAAAATTCGAGCCTATTAAATAAGTAAAGTATTTTCCAAGAGCACAAAAATAATGAAGCTAAATGCCATAAAACAGGAGAAAAAATGTTGAATTTTAAGAAATTCGGATTTTTGAATTTTTGATAATTTTCGATAATTTTAGATTTTTTACCAAAATTCGAGCCTATTAAATAAGTAAAGTATTTTCCAAGAGCACAAAAATAATAAAGCTAAATGCCATAAAACAGGAGAAAAAATGTTGAATTTTAAGAAATTCGGATTTTTGAATTTTTGATAATTTTCGATAATTTTAGATTTTTTACCAAAAAGACGAGCCTATTAAATAAGTAAAGTATTTTCCAAGAGCACAAAAATAATGAAGCTAAATGCCATAAAACAGAAGAAAAAATGTTGAATTTTAAGAAATTCGGATTTTTGAATTTTTGATAATTTTCGATAATTTTAGATTTTTTACCAAAAAGACGAGACTATTACATAAGTAAAGTATTTTCCAAGAGCACAAAAATAAAGAAGCTAAATCCCATAAAAGAGAGAAAAAAAATTTGAAATTTAAGAAATTCGGATTTTTGAATTTTTGATAATTTTCGATAATTTTAGATTTTTTACCAAAAAGTCGAGCCTATTAAATAAGTAAAGTATTTTCCAAGAGCACAAAAATAATGAAGCTAAATGCCATAAAACAGGAGAAAAAATGTTGAATTTTAAGAAATTCGGATTTTTGAATTTTTGATAATTTTCGATAATTTTAGATTTTTTACCAAAAAGTCGAGCCTATTAAATATGTAAAGTATTTTCCAAGAGCACAAAAATAATGAAGCTAAATGCCATAAAACAGAAGAAAAAATGTTGAATTTTAAGAAATTCGGATTTTTGAATTTTTGATAATTTTCGATAATTTTAGATTTTTTACCAAAAAGACGAGCCTATTAAATAAGTAAAGTATTTTCCAAGAGCACAAAAATAATGAAGCTAAATGCCATAAAACAGAAGAAAAAATGTTGAATTTTAAGAAATTCGGATTTTTGAATTTTTGATAATTTTCGATAATTTTAGATTTTTTACCAAAAAGTCGAGCCTATTAAATAATTAAAATATTTTCCAAGAGCACAAAAATAATGAAACTAAATGCCATAAAACAGAAGAAAAAATGTTGAATTTTAAGAAATTCGGATTTTTGAATTTTTGATAATTTTCGATAATTTTAGATTTTTTACCAAAATTCGAGCCTATTAAATAAGTAAAGTATTTTCCAAGAGCACAAAAATAATGAAGCTAAATGCCATAAAACAGGAGAAAAAATGTTGAATTTTAAGAAATTCGGATTTTTGAATTTTTGATAATTTTCGATAATTTTAGATTTTTTACCAAAAAGTCGAGCCTATTAAATAAGTAAAGTATTTTCCAAGAGCACAAAAATAATGAAGCTAAATGCCATAAAACAGAAGAAAAAATGTTAAATTTTAAGAAATTCGGATTTTTGAATTTTTGATAATTTTCGATAATTTTAGATTTTTTACCAAAAAGTCGAGCCTATTAAATAATTAAAATATTTTCCAAGAGCACAAAAATAATGAAACTAAATGCCATAAAACAGAAGAAAAAATGTTGAATTTTAAGAAATTCGGATTTTTGAATTTTTGATAATTTTCGATAATTTTAGATTTTTTACCAAAATTCGAGCCTATTAAATAAGTAAAGTATTTTCCAAGAGCACAAAAATAATGAAGCTAAATGCCATAAAACAGGAGAAAAAATGTTGAATTTTAAGAAATTCGGATTTTTGAATTTTTGATAATTTTCGATAATTTTAGATTTTTTACCAAAATTCGAGCCTATTAAATAAGTAAAGTATTTTCCAAGAGCACAAAAATAATAAAGCTAAATGCCATAAAACAGGAGAAAAAATGTTGAATTTTAAGAAATTCGGATTTTTGAATTTTTGATAATTTTCGATAATTTTACATTTTTTACCAAAAAGTCGAGCCTATTAAATAAGTAAGGTATTTTCCAAGAGCACAAAAATAATGAAGCTAAATGCCATAAAACAGGAAAAAAAATGTTGAATTTTAAGAAATTCGGATTTTTGAATTTTTGATAATTTTCGAAAATTTTAGATTTTTTACCAAACAGTCGAGCCTATTAAATAAGTAAAGTATTTTCCAAGAGCACAAAAATAATGAAGCTAAATGCCATAAAACAGGAGAAAAAATGTTAAATTTTAAGAAATTCGGATTTTTGAATTTTTGATAATTTTCGATAATTTTACATTTTTTACCAAAAAGTCGAGCCTATTAAATAAGTAAGGTATTTTCCAAGAGCACAAAAATAATGAAGCTAAATGCCATAAAACAGGAGAAAAAATGTTAAATTTTAAGAAATTCGGATTTTTGAATTTTTGATAATTTTCGATAATTTTACATTTTTTACCAAAAAGTCGAGCCTATTAAATAAGTAAGGTATTTTCCAAGAGCACAAAAATAATGAAGCTAAATGCCATAAAACAGGAGAAAAAATGTTAAATTTTAAGAAATTCGGATTTTTGAATTTTTGATAATTTTCGATAATTTTACATTTTTTACCAAAAAGTCGAGCCTATTAAATAAGTAAGGTATTTTCCAAGAGCACAAAAATAATGAAGCTAAATGCCATAAAACAGGAAAAAAAATGTTGAATTTTAAGAAATTCGGATTTTTGAATTTTTGATAATTTTCGAAAATTTTAGATTTTTTACCAAAAAGTCGAGCCTATTAAATAAGTAAAGTATTTTCCAAGAGCACAAAAATAATGAAGCTAAATGCCATAAAACAGGAGAAAAAATGTTGAATTTTAAGAAATTCGGTTTTTTGTATTTTTGCTAATTTTCCATACTTTGAGATTTTTTACTAAAGGGTGGAGACTATTAAATATGTAAAGTATTTTTGAAGAGCACAAAAATAATGAAGCTAATTTCCATAAAAGAAGAGCAAAATTGAATTATTTAGAAGAAAATTTACAAAAAATTTGTAAACAATTTAATTCCTGTCAAACTTTTATTTTTTTATGAATATAATTAAATTATTGCGAAGGATTTTCGCAAATTTTTTTTAAATAATTAAATTCTTTTGGAAAATTTGATTAAAATAGTAAACATTGAAAATCATTCAATTGAGGAAAATTTTTGAAAATATTTGAAATTTTGCCAAAAATTGTATTAAAATTTTTGGAAATAATTGAATTTCAGATAATAATTTTATCATTTCTAAAAATAATAGAAATTTTGACAAAAATTTTTAAAAATTTTTGAACAATAATTGAATTTCTGCGAAGAAATTGTATTACTTTTGAAAATAATTGAATTTCTGCAATCATTTTTAATTTCTCTAAAATTCTCCAAATTATATCGTATAATTTACGAACTTTTCGTCTTTTTTCAATCAAATTACGGACTTTACGGACCTTTTTTCAAAAAAACTGACATTTACGGACTTGAAGCAAATTTACGGACCTTTACCGGATTTTCGAATCTAGTTCGAGCCCTGAACTTAGAAAATATTAACAAAAATAATTTCTACTTCAAAAAACAAAAGAAAATACCTTCACGCATTTATCAGTCGTTCGGAAATTTTCCAAAGTCTCCTCCATTTCTAAAGTTGAACCAAAAAGAGGATCAGGAATTGGTTTCGCTGCTGTTTCCACTTCCCATGGTGATGGAACTCGTGCTGTTTTACCCGACTCCTCACTAATCATTGCATTCAATACCAATCGAAAATTACCACCGATTTCTGGTGTATCATCCAAATCTTGTTTCTCAAATATTAAAGTACTTTCATTCAATGGAACGTAACCGGTGTGAAAATGCATTGCTGCCATTTTTATACCAATAACTCTTCCCAATTGTTGACGTGCGTGATAAACAACAATTGTAATATCACCTCTAACTGTTGCTTCACCTAATATTAAACAGACTTTTCCTTCCATTAAACTGAATAATTTCATTTCCTCATATTCAGCGCGTTTTGTTGAAAAAACTAATGCTCCATTACTGTAAATTTCCACGTAGGGACGACATCCGTCCTTAGCTCGTGTAAAGAGAGGCACGGGTTGAATCAGAAGAGAACGAAGAACTAATGGCTTTGAATGTGGTAATTTTCCAACACTCAAGTGACCCATATATTTTACTATTCGCAATTCAGAGGGCTGTAATTGAGGTGGTTGGCAGCGTCTCGTTGTAAATAAAGATATTGCTTCGTCACTCGTTGTAAATGTACCCGAGTAAAGCAATAATGCACAGGCTACTGTTGCACTTGCTCGAAAGCCGTCCTAAAAAATTTTTAAAATACGATTAGTAAAACTTAATTCAAATAAAATATACGTACATTTATTATTTCTTCATTTTTTTATTAACAGTCCTCGGATCGACTTTAAAACCCAAAAGTCTAGTTTCAAATCAATTGAAAGTACAAAAAAAATATTTAAAAAATTTATTTTACTTTCGATTATTACAAAAATTTGGTTTTGTATTTAATTGATTTCTAAAATAATCTTTAACTTCTTTCCTTATCCCAAAAAAACATCGATGTTAAGTTTTTGTAAAATTCAATTATTTTCAAATAATTTTTTTGAATTGCAATTTTTCAAAAAACTAATTTCTATATTTTTAATAACAATTATTCAAAATATAAAATTTTCAAAAATTTCAATTTGAAACCATTTGAAATTGAATTATTTCTAATAATTTCTTTTATAATTCTTCTAATTTTTAATTATTTTCTAGAACTTATAATTAAAATTATTCTCCGATTCAATTATTTTTAAAATATTTTTCAATTAAATTCATATTCAGAAGCTCAACTAATATAAAAAAAAATTGAATTGCAATTTTTTAGAAATCTAAGTTCGTCAGAATGTTTTAATTAAATTAAATTATTCAAAAATTTGAATTTTCCAAAATTTTTTGAAATTAAATTATTTCTAATAATTTCTCCTTCAATTCTTTCAATTTTCAATTATTTTCAACAACTTCTAATTACAATTCTTCACTAATTCAATTATTTTTGTTAATTTTTAGAAACTTCTTCGAGAGTTTAATTACTTAATTACAAAAAGTTTAATTTTTTTTTATAAAAATTGCAACTGTAGCTCTTTATGGTTTTTTTTTAAGTTTTTAATGTGAAAAACAAAATTCAAGGAAAATATTTTCAAGGCACATCAAGAACATGAATTTATAGAGAAGTTCTAAACATTTGATACTTGGCCACCACTTTGGGCAAAATTTCCAACTTTCCCGATTTCTCTGACCTGTGGAAACTTTGTTATTGTCCAAATTCATGAAACAGTACAAAATAAGTTAAACTCAATACTAAACTTTGAAAAATATTTAAAACTAAATCTTTAAATTTTATTTTAACGAATTCATTTAGTGAATTTTACTTATTAGAACAAAACTCTGTTTTTGGGTTAAAAAAGTGAAATACGAGAAAAAAGCTTGAGTATTTTCCCCAATATAAAAATCGTAATAATTTGCATTTTAAATCCAAAAAAGTGATATTTTGTTAAAATATTTGGAAGAAAAGTTCAGTAACACTTTTTTTGGAAATTAACCAAAACCCGAGGTCTGTTATTTTCAAAATTTTGATAAATAATAAGTTAAAGAGAAAAAAACTTACTGTGCAGTATAAAACAACAACGTGATTAAAATCAGAATCCAAGTATCGATAAATATCCTGGCAAATTTGATAAATTGCTGATAAAAGTGGTGCATTTGAATCAGCAGACGAATAAGCAAATGAACAATCAATATGCCTTCCCGGTAAACGTGAAACATTTGGTCGTCCTCGTGACAAATTATACAATTGAATTTTCGCTGGCGGTGGATGTCGAGCTTGCAAAAATGCCCTCACATCTTCAACATGATTTGCTCTATATGCAGATTCAATTCCATCGGCCGGATATGGCATCACCAAAATTCGTGACGTTAAATAACTTGCATCCAATTCTGTTCTCGCCATACTCTGTTGAACGGTATGCATCACCTTACTCGAAGTGTCTTTTAAATTACGTAAAATACTTCCGGCACCACCTTTTATCGAACTAAATAATCCACTGGATTGAGCTACGGGTATTCTTTGATTTGAAGGATGAGACATTGGAACTGGTCTCTGTGGTGGTTGTGGTGGTGCAGCCGACGAGACGGTGGCAGCAGCAGCACTAGTTGCAGGCGGTGGTCGTGGAGGTGGTGCAGGCGATGTAGGAGGTGGAGGCGCAGGTCTAGGCGGTGCTGGTGGTTTAATAACGACATCAATTTTCGGTGGTTCTCTCGGATCGAAATTATTTGACTCGGCGATTGCAGCTAAACGTTCAAGCAAGGCCGATGTTGTGAGTCGTTGAACGGGAGAAATTTGTAAGCATCCTTTTATTAAATCATGGAAGCAAGCGTAACGAGGATTCGGTGGTAGGGGCGCGTACTTTGCATTAAGAACTGCTAATTTATTGCCTGTAGAAAAAATTACAATCGGTTATTTCAAATTGACATTCAAATTCAAATTGATATTTAAACTTAATTTTCACTCTATTTTCACTGTAAAATTCATTTGTTTTTCATACCTTCGGGAAACGGATGACGAAGTGTAACTAAAGCGTAGAGAATACATCCGAGAGCCCAACAATCGACAGGTGGACCAATTGGTTCATTATTCCAAGTGTCTGTTATTTCTGGAGCTCGATACATGGGTGTGGTAAATTTAGCCATGTGATCCTCAAGAGTTGCTCTCTTCTGTGCATTCCATGAAGAATCGGGTAAAATTTGTTGTGTTGTGACACTGCCAAAATCGCAGAGTTTAACCAATCCATCGCCTCCAATCAAAAAGTTTTCCAACTTTATATCACGATGGACAATTGGTTGTGGTTCTTGACTATGCATATGATGAACAGCTCTTGTTGCTTGATAAGCTATTCTACAGACTTGAGCGACTGTCAGCGAATTTACCGAAACATTTCGAAGAATATCGGCAATTGTACCACCGGGACAATATTCTGTGACTAATAAATATTCACAACTCTTTCGATCCTCACGTTCTATTCGATGAACGCATAAAAATTGAATTATATTCGAATGACCGGATACGGCTTTTAATGTTTCTATTTCTTGTAAGACACTTCTGTTTGCTTCCTCATCAACGGCAACGAGTTTCTACAAAAAAAAAAGGAAAAATCGAACAATATTATTTAAAAACCAAAGAGTAATTAAATTTTCTTTTCAATCAATTTACAAAATTTTTAATCAATTTACAAAAAGTAATTCTTACTTTTAAAGCATATTCCTTTCCTGTATTTACATCCTCTACGGCAAACACCAAAGCACAACCACCTGTCGAAATAAAAATTAAAATTAATTACAATCTGAAAAACAAAATTTCAATATCGAACAGAAAAGGCTTTTTCACTCTATTGAAATATAATAATAAGATTTAAATTTACGAGCGGATTTCACAATACGAGACTAAAGTCAACAGAAACTAGAAAGTAATTAAAACCTTAAGTGGTTTAAAATTGTCTACAAAGAATTTTTCAATAAACAATAAATCTTATTTCTCGAAAAGTTAATTAGGTTTAGATAATGAATTTATTTTTTACAACAAAATTTTTACAAACATGGTTTTACATCTAAAATAGAGAAATTTTTTTCTTTTTTTCTAAAAGAAGAAAAATTTAAAGACTATATAAAAAAAATGTCAGCAATTTCACAAGTGACAAATGATAATAAACAGAGCATGTAAAAAAGAAATAAGAAAATATTTCCGAGCAATTTAAGATTTGAACCTTCTTCTCAGGTCGAGCTACAATAAGGTTAAGATACAAGGTTAAAATAGATTTCGATCGACAAAAAGTGTCGACCTTCACTTATTAAAGCCCTTATTTAAAAGAAAGTAACCTTCACAAAAGACTTTTATTTCATCTTTACAATTTTTTTTTCTCAACTTCTTTAACATTGTTAGTGAATATATTAATTATTTCATCATCAATCGTCACACTATTGAACAATAAAACAATATACAAGAAAAAATGAATTCTAATATGTAACACTTTGTCCCTATAATGTCAAAAAGAAAAAAAAACATGCGTTTGACATATGACTTTAAAAAATCAAAAGGGAGAATCAAGAATAACAATAAGAAAATTTGCCAAGAATGTAAAAATTCAGAAATATAAGTGAAATTTAGCCTTAAATAAATATTATTTAAATAAAAGAAAGTGACAGCTTTTGTGATTCAAACAACGGTAAATCTAAAAAGTGGGAGGATTGACCACTCACCCTCTGCGATAAGTCTATTCACTCGGAGTTTTACATTGTTAATTTCCACAATTTGACCAACATATTCGTTCGAATTTGTGCCTCCATTTAAATATCCAAGAGCGGATCTCAAGTAATCCGACATATTTGCTTACTCGTCAATTAAAACTTGCACAAAATTCTTTTTTCATTGACGATTAAAAACTACCGATGACGTTCGCCATATTGCTCTTTGTACGTCACAAATTTTCCAGGAGAGTGATAATTTACTTTAGCGCCCTGCTCTCCTTTGTACCTCAACAAAATAGAAAGTAAAGATAATTAGTTAAATATTTTATAGAACATTTAAAAAAAAACGAGAAAAATTGTAATTTTCCTCGTTTTTTTGAATAAAATTATTCATTTTTCAATATTCAAAACTTTTTGAATGAATAAAATTATTCAAATATAATTAAAAATTAATTTCATTTAAATACCTGAGAAATTTTTCTCTATGTACTTTGATATTAAAAAAAACTTCCACAAACTAATTATTAATAAAATAAAAACTCATAAAGTCACCTTAGATATTCCTCTGATTCTAAAAAATAAAAATACAAAAGAATATTATAACATTTAAGTAAACAAAACCAATACAAAATAAATCAAATGTCTCTAACAAGTAAAATAAACAATTTTTAAAGAAATGAATTAAAACTAATCTAGTTACCTGACTTCTTAATACCCTAAAAAGAGAATACATAAAAAAACAAAAAGTACACAATTTTTTTAGAGAAATTAATTAAAATATCACATAAAGTTACCTCGAATATCTATTGACGATTCTAAATAAAGAAAATCATACAAAATATTTTAGTAATAACAGAATTTTAATATTAAAAAGAAATTAAAATATTGTTAATTAAATAAAATATTATAAAGTCACCTGAGATAATATTTTGTTGATCCTAAAAAGAGAAAATATAATAGAAAATTAAAAAATAATTCAAAATAGATTTTTTAATGACTCTGAAAAGTAACAAAAAATAAACCATTTTTATAGAGAAATTAATCATAATATCACATAAAGTTACCTCATAGTTTTTTTTAGATGATTCTAAAAAGAGAAAACAATATAAATTATCGTAATATAATAAAATTTTAACAATAAAAACAAATTAAAATGGTTAATTAAATAAAATATTATAAAGTCACCTGAGATAATATTTTGTTGATCCTAAAAAAAAGAAAATACATATTTAAAAAAATAATTCAAAATAAATTTAATGACTTTAAAAAGTAACAAAAAATAAACATTTTTTATAGAGAAATTAATCAAAATATCACATAAAGTTACCTCATAATTTTGTTAGATGATTCTAAAAAGAGAAAACAATATAAATTATCGTAATATAATAAAATTTTAACAATAAAAACAAATTAAAATTGTTAATTAAATACAAAATCATAAATTCACCTGAGATATTTTGTTGATCCAAAAAGAGAAAATGTATATTTAAAATAAAAAAAACAATTTTTAGATAAATTAATTAAACTATTATACATAAAGTTACCTCAAATTTTTTTGATGATTCTAAAAAGAGAAATTATTATAAATTTACTAATAAAATAAATATACAATTAAAAACCAATGCCTCTAAAAAGTTAAACCAAACAATTTGTAGAGAAATAATTTTTAATAATTTTATAAAATTTAGATAATAAAATAATTACTTGCAGTTACCTTAAAAAAATATATTTTTGATCCTAAAAAGAGAGAATATTAACACCTCTATAAATTACAAAATAAACAATACTATTTTACACTTAACTTAATTTTCCGTTAATTGAAAATCTGAAACATAAAAAAATCTAAAATATAGTAACAATTATAAATTACATGCATGGATTAAAATTTAACTTACTTCGTTAATCGTTGATTAAAAAAAAATAATTCTGAAACAGAAAAAAAAACACATGGACATACCAACAGACAACAAAGCAACAAAGTGGACATAAAAATACAATAATAATAATGGAATAAGCATGCAAAAATCCTCTTCTTTCTTCTTTGGTGGATTATTTATCCACCAACCTAACACGCGATTCGCGACTCCAGATTCCTATCAACCGCGCCTAACCACCTAACAATTTTCGCGATATCTGGAGTTTTTTCTGTTCGGTTACGAATTACTTATAATTAATGCTAATTGATATTAGTGTCAAATGAACAATTAAACATAACAAGTTTAAAAGTCATCAAGACAAAAATAACAATTTTGTTCATGGTAAAATATTAATTATACCTAAACCCCGAAATTAATATTTCACCATGTCCCTGCCTACTTATAATTAAGTATTCATTCCAGAACTGAATATCCTGCCTAATCAACCGCATCTAAAATAATTCGAACCTAATTTTCACAAGCACACAATCATTCACAATCCTAATTTTGCCCAGGTAAAAACCTATTGGCACCTATTTGTAATCTACTCATTTATTGAAGCTCTTGTTCAGTTTTTGGTTTGTATAGAGCTTTAATTTCAGTGCCTATTTTTAAAAAAGCTTTTTTGTTCAGTGCTTATTTGTTTAAAGCTTTTTGTTTTGTAAAGCTCAATTGTTTTAAAGCACCATTTGTTAAGAGCTTCATTTTTGTTTATAACTTCTATGCTAAAACTAAACACAGGCATACAATATTTAATTTTAGGCACATCATTATTTTTCAATATTAAATAAAAAAAATTTAAGAAAAAATAAATTAAAGAAAATATTGACAAACAATATTTAATTTCTATACAGTAAAAGAAGCAAGTTCAAATATTAAAATAATGTTAAAAAACTAAATAGGAAATTCATTTATCAATTAAAGAATTAAAAAAATAAAATATAAATTTAAAATTGAAAATGATGTGCCAAAATAAATAAAACGTGTTCTTTAAACACGTCGTTGATTCTTCTTGTGACCTGAAAAAAAACCTATTCTAAATATTCATTAATTTCTCATGCATGTTTGTATTAAATTTATTATTTATTTATTATTAACATTGATTATTAATTTTTTATTAAAAAGCAAATTTTTTTTATTTTCCTTTTAAGATTGTATTTAATTTATTATTAAAAAATTTTTAAAACAACAAAAGACATCATGCACTTTAATTATGAAGAAAATAATGAGTTCACCATCATTCAATTTTAATTTTAATTTTTGACTGTAAAATTTAATTATTATATTTGATAATAACAAAATATTAATTGAATCATGCAATTGAATGTTCATTGCATCGAAGGAAAAAGTCGAAAAAATATTGCATCAAGCAAAACGCGAAATTTCCTTCTATGCAAAAATTAATAAAACTCTCTGGTAATTTAGCAACCAAAATCTTTTATTAATTCGAACAATTCCGTCCCTAATTAATCTTTTCTTGGTTTCATTGTATAATTAATTATTCCTTTCAATATTAAATTAAAACAAATTTTAAACAGACTAAATACTTGATATTTATTTTCAAGAAAGATGAATATTTGAAAATGTTTAAAAATTGAATTCTATTAGATAATAATTTAATTTATAATAATTTTTTTGAGTAATTACAAATTTTTGAAAAAGAAATCTATTTAAAAATAAGAAATATCCAAGAAAAGCCTACTGCCTGATCTAATGAACACATGTAAAAAAATAAATGCCCACTCGTTGGGAAAAATTTAGTAAATAATTGTTACAAATTTTAACCAACGGTTACTTTGTTGTCTGAAAAAATTGCTGAAAATCAGCCACAAAATACTTTTAAATATGGACTCACTCTTGATGACCCAAGAATTTCCGGGGTTCTCATTGTACTATTTCTTTGAGTCTGTACTACCAATGCGTTCATTGTGACTCACCAACCCTGTTTTCCTAACTAGTGATGGAGCTAACCTGCAAGAAAATTTTGTTTTGTTCAAATAAAAAGAAAAAGATAATTTTTGAGTAAAAAGAATTGATTCCAAATAAAATAGTTAATGAATTTAATTGAAATATTTTAAATAATTAATTATAATAGGTAATTAATATTCCTATTATTTATTAATTATTATAATTATTTTCTAGGGGCAAATAAATAATCTATTATTCAATTTTTGAAAATAATTGCAATCCTATTTATTGTGTAAGAGGTTAACATTAATAAAGATATTTATTAATTAAAATGAAAATAATATCCTATTCATAGCCGAAGAAAATATGTGAAAATTAATCAAGATATTCCATCTTCTTTTTCAAATAATTATTAAATCTAGTTAGCAAAATATTAGCAAAATTTTCTCAAAATTATTATTGTCTTTCATTATTAAGAATTTCTTACAGGAAAAAGCCCCATTATTGCATATAAATTTGAAATAATTACACTCCTATTTGTTGTATACGAATTAACGTTAATAATAATAATAATAAATAAATAGATGCAATTTTCTTTTACATATAAAATCAAAGAATTATTTAGCAAAATAAAAAGTCACAAACTTACATCGATTTCCATTGATTGCTGAAGACGTCCTTCAATAGTGTAAATTAATCCTTTTTGTCAAATCACTCACCCACATTTATTTATATTTCAGACTTTATTTCCGGATTTTAACTTTGAATAATTACGATTTTCTGGATTATGTTACATTTTTTAACAAAGAACTCGACCCCATGCGGCACGATGCCATAAGAAGTACAAGAAATAATGCGACGGAAACCCATTGCCGAAAAATGTCATATTATCAAAAAAATACGATTCCAAAATTGTCAAAAGTGAAAAATATTTCATCTAAGATCATTATATTCACGATTTTATCATTACAAAACTATTTTTTAGCACTTTAATAAGACAAAAAGAGTGAAAACACGGAGTAAAAGAACGCAACAATGCACATCTACAGAAAAAACAAAATGGCTACCTTTTCATAGTAACAAAATTGTCCGTTAGGCGGAACATGGCGCTGATGTTTGTTTTTTGGCGCCAATTTCCCCACTTCTCGCCGGGAAAGGTCATTCACCTCAGAAAAAACCGTTAAATTAATTGTTTGAATAATTAATTTTTTTTTAATTTCACTAATTTTTTAAGCACAAATTATTATTTTTATTATTTATTTCACGTGTAACAATTTTTTTTTCCACGGATTTTAAATTTACGAATTATTTTTATTATTTATTTCACGTGTAACAATTTTTTTTCACGGATTTTAAATTCACGAATTATTTTTATTATTTATTTTACAATATTTTTTTCCCGGATATTAAGTTTACACGTATTATTTTTATGTAAAATAATTATGACTTTTTCAATTATTATTACACATAAATAATTAACAATTTGCTCCGAACGCGACGACGACCAAAAAAGTGGGAATGCACAAATAAAAATATCTATTTTTTGCCAAAAATACCGTTCCAAATGTATAAAAAACGAGAAATTATTTGTCTATTATAAGTTTAATCGCGATTTTATCAAAAATATACTATTTTTTAACACTTTAAAGATCTAAAAAGATTGAAAAAGGCGGACACGATGTTGACAACAATGTGCAACGGTTAAAACTGAAAATTTCAAGATGGCAACCCGTAGTAGGCGGAAGTTGCCACTCCTTTATGGTTTTGGCGCCAAAAAATCAACAACTACAACGCTCCTTGCGGCGACGCTTGACACTAAGTAGAGAAGAAGATTACTGCGCATGCGCATTGCTATTACAAAATGGCTGCCGTGCTTGCAGAGAGTAGACACTTTGCTTGTTTGTCGATGAATATTTCTATCAATACGCAGTGTAAATATCAATTTTATCAACTAATTCGGCTCACGTAGTGTAAATAGTAGTCGAGAATTCAGAATTTGTGTTTGGATTGAAGAAATTTGCGAAGTGGAACTGGATGTCACAAGTTTTCCGCAAGTCTCCACGGTGAGATGGCATTTCATGAAATTCACTCTCAAACTTCTGGTTAGTATTACAAAACTCACAAAATATAACAATTATCACAAAGCAAATTGTAATGTTCTAATTTTTTTGTTATTTACAGTGAGGGGTGATTGTTTTCTCTGGAGAAAATCGAATGAAGCACGTTCATTCAAGCGCCAAAAACATGCCATCCACGCAATCGATAGAAAAAACCTGAAAATCACAGAAACATCGCATAATATTACGAAATTCCATACAAGACATCAAATTTATTTGTTGGAATTACTTTTACGAAGACTAAATTCGTAACATAAATAGAAAATTGCAGTAAATAAAAGAAATAAATTCTTCAAGGACAGGTCATTCGAATTTAGCACCATCTAGCGGCGCCACAGTCAACTCGGTAAGCAAAGCGGAAGTTTCATTATTTCCGTTAACATTTCTCATTGTTTCTTAATTTCTTATTGATTTTTATTTTTAACGTTTTTAACACATTGTTTATTGGTTATTTTTCAATAATGCGTTGGCTTAAACTATCAATAATATTGATTATTAAATATAACAATTAAAAATTAGTTTTATAATTTATTGAATAAGTGACAATTAGAATCAATACAAAAAAATAGTGTTTTTTCGAGTGACAAAAGTTTCTTATTCCCAACTGGATGGAAATTTCAGAATATGTTTAGCAAAATGTATGCAAAAAGGTATAATTTATTTACGACATAAATGATGAATATTGCAGAATATTCTCAATTTGTGATAATTTGTAAAATTTTACTATATTGTTACTAAAATGCATAATGTATAGTGAAAATTTGACAAATTATATTTTGAGGTTATGTTGATTAAAAAATTGAATTATTTGATATTTAGTTATTTTTTTAATGTATAAAAAGGATTTATTATTATATTCATCGATTAAAACTATTACAAAACTTTTATTTTATAATTAAACTCAAGTAATTTCTATTAAAAAAAATAGTCTATTTTTTTGGAAATTTTTAAATTAGCGTATATAGCACACACATCGAATATTGTACATTTTTTTAGAAAATGGCAAATACGTAATAGTAAATCCTAATTAATTTCTTAGTTAATTATATTTCGCATTGGAATATTATTTTAAATAATTGTAAAATCAAAATAGTAAATAATAACAAATCATATTTTTAAATATTTAAGTAATATTTTTAATTATTAAATGTATAATGTTTAATTATTAGAATAATATTTTTAAATATTAAAATATTTATAAATATAATAATTAAAATAATATTTTTCAATATTGAAATAGCATTTATAAATATTAAATATTTTTCAATATAAAAATTGTATTTGTAAACAACAAAATAATAACTATTTCAAATAAAATAATATTTTTATTCTTGTACTGAGAGATCTGTTTCACTTGCAGTTCACTGTCATCGCTAGCAGAAAGGTCAGGGTTGGTGAGTCGCACCGCTCACAAAGGAACAGTACCATGAGCACCACCGCATTATCTTGGCACATGGGCGGCAGACGAGAACTCTCCGTGTTTGAAAACACATGGCAGCTGACTTTCACACCTCGCAGGATGAATGCTTCAAACTGTTGAACAAAAAGGACTTGTGTGACTGGAATCTCCGAGTGAGTTTGAGAAATTTTGAGTGAGATCGTATTTGAATGTACTTTGCAACAGAAATTCACCGTGTCGCAGGACGACAAGGTCCTAGCCGACGCAATTTTTTTCAGACAACAAAGCAACCGTTGGTTAAAATTTGTAACAGATATTTACTAAATTTTTTCCAACGAGTGGACATTAATTTTTTACATGTGTTCATTAGATCAGGTAGTAGGCTTTTCTTGGATATTTCTTATTTTTAAATAGATTTCTTTTTCAAAAATTTGTAATTACTCAAAAAAATTATTATAAATTAAATTATTATCTAATAGAATTCAATTTTTAAACATTTTCAAATATTCATCTTTCTTGAAAATAAATATCAAGTATTTAGTCTGTTTAAAATTTGTTTTAATTTAATATTGAAAGGAATAATTAATTATACAATGAAACCAAGAAAAGATTAATTAGGGTCAAAATTGTTCGAATTAATAAAAGATTTTGGTTGCTAAATTACCAGAAAGTTTTATTAATTTTTGCATAGAAGGAAACTTCGCGTTTTGCTTGATGCAATATTTTTTTCGACTTTTTCCTTCGATACAATGAACATTCAATTTTAATTCAATTCAATTCAATTCAACATTTCAATTTTATTATTAGCAAATGTAATAATTAAATTTTACACAGTCAAAAATTAAAATGATTGAATGATGATGAACTCATAATTTTCTTCATAATTAAAAGTGCATGATGAATTTTGATATTAAAAATTTTTTAATGATAAATTAAATACAATCTTGAAAGGAAAATAAAATAAAATTTGTTTTTTAATTGAAAATTAATAGTCAATTTTAATAATAAATAAAAAATAAATTTAATACATAAATGCATGAGAAATTAATAAATATTTAGAATAGGTTTTTTTTCAGGTCACAAGAATCAACGACGTGTTTAAAGAACACGTTTTATTTATTTTGGCACATCATTTTCAATTTTAAATTTATATTTTATTTTTTTAATTCTTTAATTGATAAATAAATTTCCTATTTAGTTTTTTAACATCATTTTAATATTAGAACTTGTTTCTTTTGCTGTATAGAAATTAAATTGTTTGACAATATTTGCTTTCATTTATTTTTTCTTAAATTTTTTTTATTATTAGTTACAAATTTTTTATTTAATATTGAAAAATAATGATGTGCCTAAAATTAAATATTGTATGTCTGTGTTTAGTTTTAGCATAGAAGTTATAAACAAAAATGAAGCTTTTAACAAATGGTGCTTTAAAACAATTGAGCTCTACAAAACAAAAAAGCACTGAACGAAAAAGCTTTTTTAAAAATAGGCACTGAAATTAAAGCTCTATGCAAAACAAAAACTGAACAAGAGCTTCAAAAAATGAGTAGATTACAAATAGGTGCTAATAGGTTTTTACCTGGGCAAAATTAGGATTGTGAATGATTGTGTGCTTGTGAAAATTAGGTTCGAATTATTTTAGATGCGGTTGATTAGGTAGGATATTTAGTTCTGGAATGAATACTTAATTATAAGTAGGCAGGGACATGGTGAAATATTAATTTCGGGGTTTAGGTATAATTAATATTTCACCATGAACACAATTGTTATTTTTGCCTTGATGACTTTTATACTCGTTATGTTTAATTGTTCATTTGACACTAATATCAATTAGCATTAATTATAAGTAATTCGTAACCGAACAGAAAAAACTCCAGATATCGCGAAAATTGTTAGGTGGTTAGGCGCGGTTGATAGGAATCTGGAGTCGCGAATCGCGTGTTAGGTTGGTGGATAAATAATCCACCAAAGAAGAAAGAAGAGGATTTTTGCATGTTTATTCCATTATTATTATTATTATTATTATTATTATTATTATTATTATTATTATTATTATTATTATTATTATTATTATTATTATTATTATTATTATTATTATTATTATTATTATTATTATTATTATTATTATTATTGCATTTTTATTTCCACTTTGTTGTTTTGTTGTCTGTTGGTATGTCCATGTGTTTTTTTCTGTTTCAGAATTATTTTTTTTTAATCAACGATTAACGAAGTAAGTTAAATTTTAATCCAAGTATGTAATTTATAATTGTTACTATATATTAGATTTTTTTATGTTTCAGATTTTCAATTAATGGAAAATTAAGTTAAGTGTAAAATAGTATTGTTTATTTTGTAATTTATATAGGTGTTAATATTCTCTCTTTTTAGGATCAAAAATATATTTTTTTAAGGTAACTGCAAGTAATTATTTTATTATCTAAATTTTATAAAATTATTAAAAATTATTTCTCTAAAAATTGTTTGGTTTAACTTTTTAGAGGCATTGGATTTTAATTGTATATTTATTTTATTAGTAAATTTATAATAATTTCTCTTTTTAGAATCATCAAAAAAATTTGAGGTAACTGTAAGTATAATATTTTAATTAATTTATCTAAAAAAAATTTTTTTAAATTTTAAATATATATTTTTTCTTTTAGGATCAACAAAATATCTCAGGTGAATTTATGATTTTGTATTTAATTAACAATTTTAATTTGTTTTTATTGTTAAAATTTTATTATATTACGATAATTTATATTGTTTTCTCTTTTTAGAATCATCTAAAAAAAACTATGAGGTAACTTTATGTGATATTATGATTAATTTCTCTATAAAAATTGTTTATTTTTTCTTACTTTTCAGAGTCATTAAATCTATTTTGAATTATTTTTTAAATATATATTTTCTATTGTATTCTCTCTTTTTAGGATCAACAAAATATTATCTCAGGTGACTTTACAATATTTTATTTAATTAACAATTTTAATTTGTTTTTAATATTAAAATTCTATTGTTACTAAAATATTTTGTATGATTTTCTTTATTTAGAATCGTCAATAGATATTTGAGGTAACTTTATGTGATATTTTAATTAATTTCTCTCAAAAAATTGTGTACTTTTTGTTTTTTTATGTATTCTCTTTTTAGGGTATTAAGTAGTCAGGTAACTTGATTAGTTTCGATTTAATTAATAATTTAGTTTGTTTTTTGTATTTAAATTTTATTCTTATAAAAATTTATATTATTTTTTTTAGAATCATCAAAAGAATAAAATTGAAGGGCTACATAAAATAAGGGGACGAACGCGTGGTTGAAAGGAATAATATCAGTCAGGTAGCAGCGAGCGGCTCAAGGCTTGTCACTGCTACCCGACTGGTAGTATCCCTTCCAAGCCTCGCGTTCGTCCCCTTATTTTATGTAGCCCTTCAATTATGAGATTACATATGTACTTTATGGGATATTTTAATTCATTTTTTTAAAAATGGTTTATTTTACTTGTTAGAGGCATTTGATTTATTTTGTATTGTTTTTGTTTACTTTAATGTTATATATTCTTTTGTATTTTCATTTTTTAGAATCAGAGGAATATCTAAGGTGACTTTATGAGTTTTTATTTTATTAATAATTAGTTTGTTTGTTTGTAAATTGAATTCTAATACTTGTATTTATTTTTTGCTTGTTATTAATATTAGTTTTTTTTCAGATTGCTTTTTTGTGAGTCGGGGGTTACATTTTTCTTAAACGTATAGTAAGGTTTACGTTTTATATTTCCCGCTCATTCATGATGCCACTTTCATAATAGAGACTTTTATGAAACTAAAAATACATCTAGTTATAAAGAGGAAATATCAAGAATAATAAACAAACGAAGGAAATACTAAACAAGAAGAGAGGATAAATAAAGAATTATATTTATTATGAAATATATTTAATTATCAATTTGGAGTAGTATAAAAATATTATGTGGTATAAGAAGTGAGAATATCTGGTCAATTTCTGCTGACAGTGAGTATTCTTCTTTCAATATATATAAATCAAAATAACAATGAGGAATTGACATTAGAAGTAGTTTTTTATAAAGTTAATTTCTATTTTTATTTTCTTTGTTAATTGACAAAGAATTCAATTTGTTTATTAACCGAATTTGTTATTGCTCATTTTGTCCTTTAGCATCAAGTAAATAATTGTTTACATTTTTCTAACCTCACATTTCTGTATTTTTATTCGATTTCTTATATTTTTTGTTAGTCTATATTTTCTAGTTTAAAAAATTCAGTTTAAAGAGGAATTTAGACTTTATTCGCTTATTTTTTAACTCTCATTTATGTTTGATGTAATATTCCCTTTTCTTTCAACATGATTTTTGTTTATATTTTTTTTCCGATAATCTTTTCATATAATTAGTGTACTAAGAGTTAATATTAATTCTTTATCAATTATTCTTGTCAATTTATATTTTTCCCTAATAATTTATAATAATAATGTATATTTTTTGTTTTTCAGAACTGTACATATATTTTATTAATAAAAATAAGTGAAATATTATTAATAATGGCAGATAATTTAGTAAAATTTTCGAAATTGAGATCGGCAACAGAAGCCAGTTTTTGGGCGAAATTTTCCGAATTAAAAATTGATAAATTTAAGTTGGATGATAAAATTAATATACCTCTATGGGGAAGTTATAGTTTAAACGATAGTAGATCAAGTCCATTGTTTCTAGACTATACTTCCTTCAATAAGTAAGAATTTTTTTATTATTTAGAGAATTATAATTTCATTAAAATAGAGATTAACATTTTTTCGTTCAATTTCAGAAATTTAGAAACAACTTTACATAATAATGCAGTTGCTTGCTATGGTTTCATGGTGAATACGAATACTCTTGAATTATTTAAACAAACGCAACCCGAACAATTTATAAATTCATTCGCAAAGCATTTAATTGAATCAATTAAAAGTGGCACCGCTCTTCAAGAACCATGGAGGCTCTCTTTATTTATAATGCTCTCATTCTCTGATTTGAAAAAGTACAAATTTTTCTACTGGGTTGCACATCCAACTCCATACAATTTACCTGAGACATTCTATCAAAAGAATCCAACACCAATATGTGATGAATTAAATTCTAGTCAAATTATTGACTTACAAAAAGGTTTTTCTGAACTAGATAGTAAATCAAAATCGTTTTTTACTGTTTTTAAGTCGAACGAAAATAATAGTGTTCACATTAAAACATTAGCGGAAGGAGTGGAATTTATTAAAAATAAAAATAATGATTTCGTAAGTTTAAAAATATTTTGTACTATTTTATTTGCTATAGACTACTATAGATTGATTGAAAATTTTCTATACGGTAACTATTTACAATAAATTTATTTACAGGAGTCAAAATCACAGGATGCGGTTTACTTTGCTTTTTACGATTCCACCGGAAATTCGACAATAACACCAGGTTGGCCTCTTCGAAATTTATTGTGTCTTTTATTTTGGCACTGTCCGGATTTTAGTTTCACTGAGACAATGAATTTTCTCGCAATTAGAGGAAATGATATCAATAATGCGATATTTTATTCTATAAAATCTAAAGAATATTCGGACATCGAAACTGTTCGAAATGAAATTTTGAAAGAACCTTTCGTCGGTTGGGAATCGAATACAAGTGGAAAAATGGGTCCCAATATTACTGATTTGTCAGACTCTATGGATCCTGTTAAGTAAGTTTTTTATAAACTAAAAAATTACAAACTAAAAAAGAAGATTTTTATTTTAAATTAAAATTTTGTCTAACGTGTTACCATTTTTAGATTATCAAGCAGAGCAGTTAATTTAAATCTTAAATTAATCAAATGGCGTCTTGTTCCTGAATTGGAATTGGAAAAAATTGCCGAACTTCGATGTCTTTTACTGGGGGCTGGAACTCTGGGTTGTTCCGTTGCTCGAGTATTACTTGGTTGGGGCGTTAATACAATAACGTTTGTTGATAATTCCGTCGTATCGCATAGCAATACAGTTCGCCAAAGTCTTTATACGCATGAAGATGCTGTTAAACGTCGACATAAAGCCGAAGCCGCTAAAGATGCTTTACTCAGAATTCATCCAAGTTTGGTAAAGGATTTTTATCTTTTTAAATAAAATTCTCCTTGTAATTTTAGAAATTCAATTATTATGAATATTATTTATTTATGAATATTTATTTATTTTAATCGAATTTATCTATTTACAAAAATAAATAAAACGAGCGGGTCAATTATTTCGGATTTGAAAAATAAATTCTCTTTCAGAATGCTGAGGGTGTGGTTTTGCAAATTCCAATGCCGGGACATGTTGTTGGCAAAAGTATGATGGAGTCGACAGAGAATGCTTTTAAAAAATTGGAGGAATTATATAAAAAGCATGATGTTGTTTTTCTTCTTTTGGATTCAAGAGAGGCAAGATGGTTGCCCACTGTTTTATGTGCTGCAATGAATAAAATTGCTATAAATGCCGCTCTTGGTTTTGACTCTTACACAGTTCAACGTCATGGTACTCGCAATTTACAAGAGGCATCGACTCCCGATCTAATGGTACAAAATCCATCTGGCAAAGATCTTGGCTGTTATTTTTGTAATGATATAACACAACCTGGAAATGTGAGTCAATTTTTACTTTATAATAGATTATTTTGTTTCTCTTAATTATGTTTTTTTTTCTTCCTGAATACTTTTTTGGAAATTTAAATTTTACTGGAAATTCTACTCAAGTTTACTCTTAAAAATTGTTAAAATACTAATTCTTATTAAAATGAAATACAACTTTTCTGTTAAAAATATTTAAAGTGCTAAAGTCTTATTAAAGTAATATTCAATTTTTATTTTCAGTCTCAGGTGGATAGAACTTTAGATCAACAATGTACAGTGAGTCGACCAGGTTTATCTTACATTGCCTCTGGCCTGGCTGTCGAACTTTTAGTTGCACTAACACAACACCCTGATGAGTAATAAATTCTACCGTTTATAATTAATTCTTAAATTAATTTTTAAATTAATTTTTACTTGTTAATTGTTAATTTATATTTGTGATTTATTTTTACTTACTTTCAGTTGTTAATTTATTCATTTAACAAATAAAACTAAATAAATAAATTAAGAACTCAAAGTAAATTAACAAATAAAACTAAATAAATAAATTTAGAACTCAAAGTAAATTAATTAATTAACAACTTTTTAGTTGTTAATTTATTTATTTACTTTGAGTTCTTAATTAATTTATTTAGTTTTATTTGTTAATTTACTTTGAGTTCTTAATTAAGTTTTCAATTTTTGAGAGAAAAAAGAAAATGGAAATTATATTTATTTGACCAATTTTAGAAATGATGCGGTGGCGATGTTGGATGACAGTAAAGATCTTGCTCGCATGAATAAAAATAATTCTAGTTTTGGATTATTGGGAGGAATTCCACATACGATTCGTGGATCTCTATGGGGACATGAGCAACGTTTGACAATTACTCATAGATTTCCCTCGTGCACCGCTTGCTCTTATCCCATTATTAATGAGTACAAAAAACGTGGATTTTCATTTGTTCTCGACGCTTGCAATCAACCAAATTATTTAGAGCAATTAGCTGGTTTAGAGGAATTGCTGAAGAGCACTGATTTGGAAGAGGTAATTAATAGTTAAAATAGCAAATTTATTAATAATGAAAAAAATAATTAAAAAAGCAAATTTCATTTAAATTTAATTATAGAAGTTTTTTATTTTGCTTCCTCATAGAGGAAGGATTGTAATTATACTATGTTATTAATAATTAAATAAGTAATGAGAAATATGAATTTTTTTCAATAAAAATATATTATTTTTCAGTTTTGCTACGCTCTTGATACATCAAGTGATGAGGAGGAAAAAGATTCATGAAACGGTTTTTTTAGTCAAAAATAATGGAGAAAATCGTAAATTGGTTGTAAGTCATTTTTTTTCTAATTATATATTTTATATTTGTGTATTAAAAATCGGCGAAGGGTCGAACAGTATTGATAACCAGTTATAGGAAAAAGAAACTTTTTATATTTTAGGTACTTTTTAATATTAATGTTAATATGCGATTAACGTATAGAATTAAAAGAAAGAAATGAAGCAAAATTTTCCGAATGTTTCACTACATTTTTAATTTTGTTTCTGTTCTTAAACGTATCGGAAATGAACTATTTATTAACATGAACTTTTTAGTTTTTAATTTCATTTGTAATTGAAAATACGAATCATAAGAATAGAAGAAATTGTTATAAATTTCATAACATTTGTAATAATTATATTTTATAAATATTTTTGAAATATTGTTAGAATTTTTATAAGTTATTATAAAAAAGATATAATTTATAACATTTATAGAAATTGTGATTTTATAATTGTAAAATATTTGGAAAATTTTGCACTATTAACAAAAGTTATGAACACTGACAAGCATCGTAACTGTTCGATTAGTATAAAATTTTACTAATCAAATCAATAAGACAAAGTTTATAAAATATTTTCTAGGTTAATGATCTCAAAGTATATAAATAGTAACAATAAAATTATACTCTAATTATTATTAATTATTTATATCTAGTAATTATAAAGATAAAATAATAATACCAATAATGCATTTTGTAACGCAAAATTTTAATAGTTTTCGAAAATATTTTAAAATCTTATCTCAAAAATTATCGAAAATAATATTTTTGTATAATTTCATTAATTTCTAGAGGAATTTTTATAATGGGCATTGTTTTATTTGAAACGTTATAATTATAGCAAATGATTATGTTAAGAAATGTTTTATAAACGCTTTTTTATCTAAAAAATTTATGAATTCTGACCTCAAAAACTTGTTCTATTTAAAATATTAATTTTAGAAATTTTATATTATTAAAAATGTTCGATGAGAGAAAAATATGAATAAAAATAAGTGTCATGCAATGGGGTGAAGATAATTAATATTAATTTAACTTGATTATAATATTAATTTACGATAATTATTATATAAATTTACTCTATTAATTTACCTTATATCAATTAAGAATTCGATTCATTATTCCAATTTTATTCATTACGAATTTACGATTTTTACTTTTTTTCTATTTTAATTAAATCGATTAATATTTCTTTAGGAAAATTAATTTATTAATTGTTAATTTAATATTAAAATTAATTTTCTATCTTAAAATTTATTTTTAAAATGTAATTTATAATTTTTATTTCTTATCATGATTTTAAATATTCATTGCTAATTAGTTTTAAAATTTAAATTGAAGTCTATTTTAATTACATCGATCATCATTTTTTTTTTTTAGAAAAATTTATTTTCTAAAACATTTTTTTCAATTTAATTCATTGATTTTTATTTCTTATTATTTTTTCAATTATTCATTGCTAATTTTTTAAAATTTTTTAATTAAGGTCTATTTTAGCTAAATCGATTATAATTTCTTTAGGAAAATTTATTTTCTATCTTAAACTTATTTTTTTCAATTTAATTAATTGATTTTTATTTCTTATTATATTTCTAATTATTAATTTCTTATTTAATTAATTTAATTTCTTTAGATTTTTTAATTATGGTCTATTTTAACTAAATCGATTATAATTTCTTTAGAAAAATTTATTTTCTAACTAAATCTTATTTTTTTCAATTTAATTCATTGATTTTTATTTCTTATTATATTTTAAATTATTCATTGCTAATTTCTTTAAATTTTTTAATTAAGGTCTATTTTAACTAAATCGATTATAATTTCTTTAGGAAAATTTATTTTCTATCATAATCTTTCAATTTGAGTTATAAATTAGAAAACTTATTCTTGAGTTAATTACTTGAGTAATTTTTTAATTTATTGGCAAAATTTTAATATTTCGTTAATTTTTGTTCGACCCTTATGATTTTTTGCACTTTTTGTTAGTATTAAATCTGGTTTTAATTTATTTTTTACTTTTATTTATAAATATAAGTTAATTTACAAATATTTTATTATTTGTATTTTTTTAATAAATATAAACAAATATGAGTAAATATATTTCCTTTTTGTTCGAAATTTTTTATATTATTTTGTAATAAGAGTCCAGCACTTTTTTACAAGGTGAATATATTTTTTGTATTTGTTTATATATTTAGTTTTGAATAAACTCCTCGGTTTATTTATCTATTTGAACAAATATGAATTTTTTCTTTTAATAACTATTATTAAATTTTAATAATCCATTTTTGAATTTTTATTTTTAGGAAAAATTTGAAAATTCCTGAATGATTCTTAGATAAACAATGATCTTTTAGAATCGTTTGGGGATTTTTTTAATGTTTTGTGTTTTTTTTTTAAATTTTTGACCATATTTATAATGGACTTGTGTGCGGCAATTGGCAATTTTGCCTGTAGAGAGCGTCGGGACAGCCAAATGCCAAACATTCCAGTGTAAAACGTACATGGCTAAAGTAGTGGGGAAACTTACTACCTCTTCGTGTCAAACAGGCCGTGCTCGTGCTCGTGTGTTCACCCGCATATCATTTAGATTTTCATCATTTTCAATGAAAATACGCGTTATCAACAGTCTCAATGTGCTGGTAAATATTGTGCTAAACAATTAGATAAACAATTGTGCAAGTGTCAATCACGAGAACACGTAAGTTGTCATTTGTTAAAAAAATATATATTATTTATTCCCAGTGGAATGCATGTCTTGCTCCTTTTTTTTCACGCTACGCCGCATTCCTCTATTGATTCGTACGGACAACCGACATAATAAAACCAGGATGCCTCCTTCGAATTTTGCCCCCTCGAATTGAGAAATTCTCCTTTATAAAATTTTTGACAATGAGAAACATTTTTTTGTTTTTAAACAATTTTTTTTTTAATTTTGTTTTTAATTAACAAACACACGCTTTGATGAAAATTGAAAACTGTCACGTGCGTGAAATTTTTTCTTTTTGCGAAAAGTTTTTGTATTCGTTTTTTTATTTAATGTTTGTTTAATTATCACGCCTTTTCTTAAATAATCAAATCAGGAAATGAATTTTATGAGGTCTTTTGTTTTCAATTTTAAATTATAGTCTGAATTTGGCGCGCGAATATTTCTTGAATGTTTATTCGCAGAAATTTTTATGGATTGTTTCTTTTTTTCTTGTTTGTGTCGATGAAGTTATTTAAAAATATTTTTCTTTTTTCTTGAAAAAAAGTTAGTTTCTTTTTTTTTTTATTTAGATATGTGTACAAAGAAAAAAGCGGAGAGGAATTTATTTTTTTGTGTTAATTATTTTTGTTTTTTTTATCGAAATGTTTATTTTTGCAATTTGCAAAGTATGTAAATGCCAAGTTAAATGTTATTTTCGAATTAGAATAGTTTGAGACAAGATATACAGATTTTTGCGAAGTATTCAGTGGTGGAGTAATTATTTTCAGTACCCGATCTTTTTGTTTCTTTTTAAATTTTTGGCAAAAATTCCTATTTTATTGATTCTTCCATTATTGGGAATATAATAACTGTAAAGTTGTCGATTTATAATTTGATTAATTTTATAATTTAAAAAGTTTTGTAATTTTTCAAAAATTCTTTATGAAAATACTAATATATTTTGTCACGAATGAGTAAAAACAAAAAATCAAAATTGATTTTCTCTGTAACTTTCTTTTAAAAATTTTCGTTTTCATTCATGACTGAGTCAACTTTCTTTGCATGCAAGGATACGCATCGAGTGATCAGAAAATTGTAATTGTATTTTAGATTTAGACTATTTTTCGAATTGATTAAAGTAGGAAAAAAATGGAATTCATTTCAAGATAAAAAGACAAAAAAGGAAATGAAAAGATATGGGTTTTAGTATCGTGAGATATAAAATTTTGTATATTTTTCTCCAAGGACAATGAAGAAAGTGGCAATGTAGGTTTTGAAGGATATTCACTAGTTAATTTTTTATTTCTTATTTTTTTTTTTTTAAAAGACCTCGTACATTATAATAAACGATATAAAAATTACTGAATCGATGAATTTCTACGATTTTTAAATATAGATAAGAAAAAATTTATTTGACTTATTTGGTATAATGAATACAATTAGATTGTATTATTATCATTATTGTTATTCAACAATTGAAATGTTTCTGATGATAAGGAAAAGTATTTTTCAAATATATTTTATTTTGTAGTTTTTCATTGCTTGTGTATGCGGGTTCATTTAATACTATAGGGGTGGATTCTATTTTTAGTCACTAAATAAGGGAATAGGATAGAACTTAGTTTTTTTCCCCCTATATAGAAGAAAAAAGATTGTCAAGGAAGTCATAGTTTACGCTCGCTAACGCAAGACACACATTTTTTACTTCATTTATTCTTATTTTTTGATTTAAAATTTTTTTTTAAATATTAATTAAACAAAATAATAGAATTTGAAAAAAAAATTCATAAAAATAATTAGAATAATTAGAAAAATTTTAATTTATTAAATTTTAAAATTATTTTTTAATAAATTAATTAATAATTAATAATAAAACGTTAAAGGAATTGTTTTAGTTTTTCCATTAGCTTGACTCGAAAAGAAAGTTTTTCATGCAAATAATTATAGTAAATTAAATAAAATAATGAAAATTAATTAAACACAAAAATTCCGTTTTTAGTTCAAAATTAAGTTTTGATAGAAAAATTTTAATATTCCGTATTTGTTTCTCTATATTTTTGGTGCAAAAGAATTAAAGACTGTCTTATGAAAGAGGAAGTTAATTTAAATGCCATAAATAAAAAAAAACTGACATAATTTTGGAACAAAGAAAACATTGCCCCATGTGCGTAGATTTTACTGAAATTATCTCTTGGAATTTCCAGGGGGTACTTTCTGTGGGATCTTTCTTTTTTTAAATACAACAATAATTTTCGTAAATAAAATTAATTTTATTTTTTATTTTATTTTCGTAAATAAATTCAATTTTATATTTCATTTTATTTTCATAAATAAAATAAATTTAAAAAAGAGTAATAATTTTCTCCTAAAAATTTAGGTCTCTCTCTAAATAATAAAATTCTTCAAAGTAATTTAAATATTTTCAAAAATTTTGATCAAATTCTTTATAATAATTCAATTGTTTTCTAAATTAATGGAATTCTTTGACAGAATTCAATTATTTACAAAATTATTGATAAAAAGTCAATTAAAATTCAATTTTTTTTTAATAATTCAATTAATTCTATAAATAATAAAATTCTTCTCAGGAATTCAATTATTTTTGAAAATTTTAATAATAATCGTTGC